TTCCCTGATTCAAGTTCATGGTGTTATTTTCAATATGAATAGTAAAAAAGAAGCTGATCTTTACACAAGGACAACCAGTTAGACGGGGACGACATTTACCTCATTGTGTTACTAAGTTGGACCCGTGTGCCCCGTTTACAAACTTTACCTAAAAAGTTTTTCTTAAAGTTTCACCCGATAATGTTTGGCTCCGATATTCACGTCAGCAAGTAACAAACAAATATAAATCGAAAGTGTAGGATGTCATTCTGTCGAGGAGTATCCTGTATTTTTTTTGCTTGTTTTTGTTTGAGTCAGGAGTTGAATATGGATACGAGCTCTTTTTTAATTCACCTTCCTTTTTCACGTATAATTTCTTGTTATTCTTATATCTCTGCAATGGGTTGAGGGTATTTAAATGTGTCTTTTTTAGGAAATAATAACTGTGCTTTTTGGTGATTAATTCATGTTAGTTTACAGGTAATATTTTGCCAAATTTATTAGGACCCTTTATATCTGTGTCATGTTTTATTTGGTGTCAGTGTTCACCCCAAAATAGCAGTGAACTTAACCTTGTATCTTCTATTTCTTTGAAGAGCTTACATTTTCTATACACGCTGTCACGTTTTCTTTTGGCAGTTTTAGACACCCTCACTACTTTGTTTCGCCTCATGCAAAACTCCTGCCATTATTACGGAAAATTCCCCTGACACGCCTTCATCTCGCATCAACAGTCTTTTGAATCTTGATAGATCTGCTAAATGCCGTATCTTAACATTTCTATAACACAACGGAAGGTGTAGTGAATTCTTATGCATGTTTTCTGTGTAGAATCGTAGACATTTTGTGTTTGGACCCCCCTTTTTAGTTTGTCTGTTCTTGGGGGTCAAACTAACACTAACTGAACCTGAGCTCTCCCAGTGGTTCAGTGTTCTTGGGGGTCAAATTAACACTAACTGAACCTGAGCTCTCCCAGTGGTTCAGTGTTCTTGGGAGTCAAACTAACACTAACTGAACCTGAGCTCTCCCAGTGGTTCAGTGTTCTTGGGGGTCAAACTAACACTAACTGAACCTGAGCTCTCCCAGTGGTTCAGTGTTCTTGGGGGTCAAACTAACACTAACTGAACCTGAGCTCTCCCAGTGGTTCAGTGTTCTTGGGAGTCCCAGTGCTCTCCCAGTGGTTCAGTGTTCTTGGGGGTCAAACTAACACTAACTGAACCTGAGCTCTCCAGTGGTTCAGTGTTCTTGGGGGTCAAACCAACTGAACCTGAGCTCTCCCAGTGGTTCAGTGTTCTTGGGTCAAACTAACACTAACTGAACCTGAGCTCTCCCAGTGGTTCAGTGTTCTTGGGTCAAACTAACACTAACTGAACCTGGCTCTCCCAGTGTTCTTGGGGTGAACCTTCTCCCAGTGGTTCAGTGTTCTTGGGTCAAACTAACACTAACTGAACCTGAGCTCTCCCAGTGTTCTTGGGGTCAATAACAATAACTGAACCTGAGCTCTCCCAGTGGTTCAGTGTTCTTGGGGGTCAAACTAACACTAACTGAACCTGAGCTCTCCCAGTGGTTCAGTGTTCTTGGGGGTCAAACTAACACTAACTGAACCTGAGCTCTCCTTGTAGGTCAATGTTCCTTGGGGTTCAAACTACCTGACCTCCCCCAGTGGTTCAGTGTTCTTGGGGCTCAAACTAACACTAACTGAACCCGAGCTCTCCTAGTGGATCAGTGTTCCTGGGGGTTCAAACTACCAGACTTTCCCCAAGTGGGTGAGCGTCAACAGCATAAACTTGAAACCAGAAAAGAGTATCTCATTTCAGCAACAATCGTCACCTCGACAGGCAACTCATGAACAATAAATATACTGTGTATATAGAGTATATATATACATATATATATATATATATATATATATATATATATATATATATATATATATATATATATATATATATATATATATATATATATATATATCCACGAGAAAAAATACCATATAATTTTTCTATCAATTATTACTTTCCTTAAGAGGTAACTAATAGGAAAAACATGAATACTGAACAAAATTTTATTTGTAACTCGTATATACTTAAAACACTCCGACTGTAAATTCATAAAAAAGCAGTGCGTCATAGGTGGTGTATCCTAAATACAAAAATACAGTAAATAAAAGAAATTGCATCACAGTAAAACACACGTCTCAGCTTTTAACTCGATACAAACAAGTTTAACACATTTTTTTCTTTTCCCTTATAACACTTAACACTCGGAAACACACACACCATCGTCCTCCCTTGAAGTCCGGTAACATCCTTAAGTAGCCAGAATGTAAAGGTCGCATCACACACATACACACAAATTATACAATCCATCATCAAGAGTCGACGATTATCACACATTAGAATATCACCACTTTTTAGCTACTGCTAAGCACAAAATAATATAAATGAGTTGTCCACACGTACAATTGGTTCTAGAGGTTTACTGCTGTTCTAGAGAATGTTTACATATTGGCGATAATGATTGGTGTTCTAAATTTCCCACCATTATCCTAACTCATTAGGCACTTACTTTCTCACACACACATACACTCTAAACACACTAATCCACAACAAAACCTAAAATACACACAAGAACAAACTCATAACACAATACACACACACATTAACACACACGCACTTCCACACAAAGTAAAACACAAACACACACACACAAAGGCAAGAAAAAGCACACCACAAATCAATTATTAATGAAACTACCAAAGTGTGTTGTCACACTGTATACTACTACATGTTTCTGACTCTCCCACAAGACCATAATACATAGACCGTGAGGATGGTTTGTGACGCCTGGTTTGAAGTAATAAAGTTGACTACCTGTATGTCTCGACTGGATATGCATAATAAGACTTTACCAATATTGTGCTCGTTAGTTTGTTTATTGTTATCGCATCACCTGAAGCTTATACATATCATCTTATTTTACCTGAAGACTAACCATCCTAACGCTACGTAGGGTAGGTTAGGTTAACATAGAGGTTAATCTTTAAGTGAAATAAGCTAGGATGTCTAACCTTTCACGTGATATGTCTATTCTTAGAAAGTTCCAAGGTCACGAAAACTTGCATAATACCTCACCATGAAAGACACGTTAATGTGGCTCTGCCGAATAACAACAGTTAACAAACCAACACGTATAAGATTAATATCATAAATACTCTCTCTCTCTCTCTCTCTCTCTCTATGATATACAAATCTTGGCCCCATGAACAAAGTAGTATATAACAAAATAATATCCTTCCCATACTACACAATAAAATAAACTTTAAAACACAAACTTCTTTTCCTTAACCATAACAACAGCTCCGTTACCCATTCATCACGGAACAATCTAGAGCACAGAAATGGGTTCGTTTTTACAGTACAGTATGAGGATTCGCAGCCTCAGCTTATTTTTCACCTGATTTTTAAACACCCAAATAATGCTACCTTGTGTGTGGGGGGGAAAGAGGGAAGGGTTAGGTTAGGTTAGGTTAGGTTAGTATTAGATTTGGTTTGGTTCGGTTGGTTAGGAAATGTTAGGATATAATAACATTAGGCTAGGCTTGTTTACTTTAAGTTACGTTTGGTTTGGTTAAGTTTGTGTTAGGTGATAAGTTGTTAGGTGTGATGTTTAGTTTGGTTTGATGTTAAAGTTTGTGTTAGGATGTTTAGTTTGGTTAAGTCAGTGTTAGGTTAAGTGATGTTAGGTTTGGTTAAGTGATGTTTAGTTTGGTTAAGTTTGTATTTAGGTTTGGTTAAGTCAGTGTTAGGTTAAGTGATGTTTGGTTTGGTTAAGTTTGTGTTAGGTTTGGTTAAGTTTGGTGTTAGGTTTGGTTAAGTTTGTGTTAGGTTTGTGTTAAAGTTTGTGTTAGGTTTGGTTAAGTCAGTGTTAGGTTTGGTTAAGTCAGTGTTAGGTTAAGCGATGTTTGGTTTGGTTAAGTTTGTGTTAGGTTTGGTTAAGTTTGTGTTAGGTTTGGTTAAGTTTGTGTTAGGTTTGGTTAAGTCAGTGTTAGGTTTGGTTAAGTCGGTGTTAGGTTAAGCGATGTTTGGTTTGGTTAAGTTTGTGTTAGGTTTGGTTAAGTCAGTGTTAGGTTTGGTTAAGTCAGTGTTATGTTAAGTGATGTTAGGTTTGGTTAAGTTTGTGTTAGGTTTGGTTAAGTCAGTGTTAGGTTAAGTGATGTTAGGTTACGTTAGATTATGAAAGGTAACCGTAAGGAAGTTTTAATCAACAGGTGAAATAAACAGGGATAGATAACCTTCATACGATACAAGCAATACTCGTCTTGGGCAGCTAGTGAAAAAAATACAGATATATGATTGATGAATGTAGTAGAGCCCAATACAGTACATCTTCGTCTCCTCTTGCAAAACCACGAGTAACGTGGTATCAACAACTTGAATGTTCCCAAGATGATAATATGGTGTTCTCCTCCCTTCTGCAGTGCGTATATTATCGTTTCGAGATCTTGAATGCCTGTGTTGGTGGAGTGTGGATACGTGTTGGTGGTGGTAGTGTTAGTGGGGCATGGTGGTAGTAGTGTTTGTGGAGTGTTGGTGGTGGTGTTTGTGGAGTGTTGGTGGTGGTAGTGTTAGTGGGGCATGGTGGTAGTAGTGTTTGTGGAGTGTTGGTGGTGGTAGTGTTAGTGTGGCATGGTGGTAGTAGTGTTTGTGGAGTGTTGGTGGTGGTGTTTGTGGAGTGTTGGTGGTGGTGTTTGTGGGTGTTGGTGGTGGTGTGGTGGTGGAGTGTTGGTGGTGGTGGTGTTTGTGGGGTGTTGGTGGTGGTGTTTGTGGGTGTTGGTGGTGTTGGTGGGGGTGTTGATGGTTTGGTGGTGGTGTTTGTGGGGTGTTGTTGGTGGTGGTGTTTGGCATGGGCATGGTGGTGGTGGTGTTTGGGGCATGGTGGTAGTAGTGTTTGTGGAGTGTTGGTGGTGGTGTTTGTGGAGTGTTGGTGGTGGTAGTGTTAGTGGGGCATGGTGGTAGTAGTGTTTGTGGAGTGTTGGTGGTGGTAGTGTTGTTGGTGGTGGTGTTAGTGGTGGTGGTGATATTGGTAAGGCCCAGATGGTTTTAGTAGTAGTAGTAGTGGTGGTGGTGGCGGCTGGAAAGCGCCTAAGGTGTGGCCCGGGCCCAGGCCAGGAGAGCCACCAGCAGAAGCCCCGCAGCAGCCCATCGTCACAAGGGGAAGAAGGTGAAGGTGGAGCCCAGACCGTCACTCAGCTCCTCCAGGTAGACCTCAGGCACATGCTCCCCGGCCTCGTACGGCGACTCCTGCATGGCCACCGTCGACCGTCCTCGCACCTCAACCTCGTAAGTAATCAGCTGTACGAGAGTTAAGACACCATGTAGTACAAACCTCGCCGCGATATACCAAGAAAACTCAACTTACAACTCCTCACTAACTTCATCTGAAACATGTACAGTACGTAAGTCTGTCAAACATATGTATGCATTATCTATCATTTTATCCGCTAAGTGGAAATTAATACATAAGATACACATTATTTGGCACTTTATGTATTAACAGTTAAAGGCCAGACTAAGATTAGCTGAGATAACATTAAAATTAGACATGTGGATCACTCGTCCCCACAGTACTCTTTAGTGATTTAACTAGATTTAACGATAATGAGCAATGGGTACTGTGACCTACCTAAACGAACCCATCATGGAAGTCAATTTGACCTCTGTTTGACCTAGTGTAACATTGTGTTGTGTCAGAGGAGGGACTTCTTATGTAGAAGTCCCTCCTCTGACACAACCCAATGTTACACGAAGCAACCAAAGAGAGCTACAAGATGTCAAGAGTCTGAACTTATAGACCGTGCAAGTACAGTATACAATTTCAATGCATCTAAACAGTGCAAGTTATACAACAATAGTAAACAGTAAAACAAGTCGAACAAGGACAACCGACAAAACCACCGGATATTTATTTCCAGTAAGGTCCTGATGTCAGTGGCTCAGTTAACTTGAAGGCGAAGAGGTACTGTACGGTACTGACCTGAGAGAAAAATCCGTAGTTGGGCCTGATGAAGGGTCTGGCGGCCTTGACGGTGAGATAAGCGTGTCTCAGGGTCATGTCCTCAAGGTCAGTCTGACCCACCAGCGCCGCCAGGGCCAGGGAAGCTGACCTGCTTATCCCAGCCCGACATACCACTGCTAGCCCCCGTCCGCCGGAATCTGTACAACCCACGAGCGTAAGAGAGGGGTGATACAATAATAGTAGAGAGATATATATATTTGAGAGAGAAAAAAGAAGAGTATATGAGAGGGACAGGGGATAGAAAAATAAAGTATATAAGAGACAAAAAAAATTATAAAAAAACAACACAAAATATGAAGCACATTCACACCCGAGCAGACCTTCTGTTGTTCACCCCGAAGACGTTTCGAGTTGAACGTTTACAGGACCCTCACAGGACCTCAAGCAACTCACCCACACCAACAGGACATTCATAGGACCTCAGGCAACTCACCCACACCAACAGGACATTCACAGGACCTCAAGCAACTCACCCACACCAACAGGACATTCACAGGACCTCAGGCAACTCACCCACACCAACAGGACATTCACAGGACCTCAGGCAACTCACCCACACCAACAGGACATTCGCAGGACCTCAAGCAACTCACCCACACCAACAGGACATTCACAGGACCTCAAGCAACTCACCCACACCAACAGGACATTCACAGGACCTCAGGCAACTCACCCACACCAACAGGACATTCACAGGACCTCAGGCAACTCACCCACACCAACAGGACATTCACAGGACCTCAAGCAACTCACCCACACCAACAGGAACCCAGGCAACTCACCCACACCAACAGGACCCCAGGCAACTCACCAACAGGACTCACCTCGACATTCCTTGAAGGCCTCGGCCACCACCGGGAAATATGGGCTGATGTCTTGTTCCGGGTCATCCTTCACGAGGACCTTTACCACGCGAACTTCATCCTGCAGGAGAGGAAGAAAGGAAAGATTGATAAGTAGTGTAGGATATTCTGGATCATCTGAAGATTCGACCCTCTCCCCTTCCTCCACAGTTTATTTCACCTGAAGATTAACAACCCTAACGCTAATTTAATCTAATCTAATATAATTTAACCTAACCTAACTTAAGATTCTCCCCCAGCTTATTTCACCTGAAGAATCACCCTACGGTTACCTGGTAGAGTTAGGTTAAGTTGGTTTGGTTCGGTTAGCATTAAGGTGATTAATCTTAAGGCGAGAGAAGCTAGGTGCAAGTCTACAAATGGCCTCATAATCCTTCAAAGGTGACTAGAAAATTAATGAATCTGCTGCCCGCTGCCCATTCGTCTCTAGTGAGGTTAAAACGTCTATAGTCGAAGTTAAAATATCTACACCTGATGTTAAAACGTCTATCACTCGTGGCCCAATCCTTTATATTCGAAGCCTGAACTTACAAAACCAAAAACTAAAACATTCCAAGCCGAGAATACATCGTTCTACCACAGCCTGAGCCAAAACTGTCTTACTACTCTCTAGCTGAGTATTTGAGTATTCGCTCTACAACATTCTTAAACACAGTTGCCAAAATTTCGCGAGTGAACGATGTAGAGGTAAATGTATAGATATACTGTATGCATAGACACACAGGGATCACTGGAAGATGTAGACACCCCAGGTTATCTCACTTGGTATTTAAACACCCTAACGCTACAGAGGGGGGGCTATGGTTAAGTTAGGTTTGGTCATCACTAGGCTGTTTAATCATCAGGTGAAATAAGCTAGTGTGAAATCTTCACGTGACACACACACACACACACACACACAGGCAGAACCTCAACAATATAGCATCGGTGAGGTTGTCAGGTAGAGGTCTTACCGGGAGATCTGGAGGGTCTACTTCAGGCGTGGCCCAGACGAGGGTAGTGATGCCGCGGGTATCTAGCTCGTGGGCGGTGATGGCCCGGGCGGCACCCACCCACAGCCCTGCCCACACCCGGCTCACGCCCACTTCCGACCGCCCAGCCTCCATCACCCTCTCTGCTCCCCGATACAACATGCGATGCAACACATATTAGAAAAATATATTAAATATATTAAATATACTGTATATATATATATATATATATATATATATATATATATATATATATATATATATATATATATATATATATATATATATATATATATATTGTAAAGCACATAAATCATAACACTGAAATCCCACTGTAGAAGAAAACAAAAGTATTTTGTATTATTGAAAGTTTTACAGGTGCGTCAAGTGACATCAAGTAACCTGTTGACCAGCAGCTGACCGCGGCGAATGTCAGGCAAGGTCTTATGAACAGCTACCAAGGTGATAAAGCCAGGGGACCATTGTCCTCTTGAGATGTTGATTTTTTTTTCAATCGAAGCAGACTTTACTATTTTTCTTCTAAACCTACAATTAGATTTGTACTTTATGGATGAATCATTCCAGTTAATGGCATGACCCGACTCACTAACGTGTTATAATACAGCACAATTATCTTGGGTATATCTTATGGCAATTTTATGTTGTTAATCCAGCAGATAATTCCTTCCCTGTCTGACCAACATACAATGTTGGGGTGACTGAAAACTATGATAATTTGTTCTTTAGTGAACTAATTTATCAAATAGCTTGTGGGTTGATTGTAAGGTATTTTTATTAATGGCCGTTTTTATATTTCCAATACTCAATTTGGACATATAGAATCGAAATTTGCAAAAATTTTACTCCACAGTATTGTGTTTAATTTTTTAAGGGGGGGGGGACGACTGGGGGCTGCGCTCATGGAATATGGCAAAGTTTGCGTTGAACCTTTCACAAATTTCAAGGTCTTATGACGTAATTATTTTCAGATCTTCAGAAATGCGACAAAACCAGCCGTTTATGATAAGGGTGAATATGTTTTACATCATAAATAACCGTTCCACTGAGAAATGGCCCATTTTTGGAGTGCAGTACATGTTACGGTTCGAGCTTCATATAGTTTTGGCAGTTTGTTTTACAACGTTTTGAAAATATTTCCTCAAATTAATATTTTCCTGAAAATATATGAAGGAAATTCGCTAAAGATCGGCCATAAAGAGGAAGCCTAATTACACCAGATCAATAGACGTAGCAAGCAGTCGCGTTTGTCACGAGGAACGTCAACATATTTGGAATTTCCGAAAGGTTTAATATCATAATTTAAAGACTGATATTCATTCTACAAAATCTCGTCTGATATCTTTGAATAATACATTAAATCAAGTCAAGTCTTTGAATAAACGACAGATTTTTCAAGTTAACTTAGAAGACCAAGTAATAAAGTAAAGTAGTGTTTACGCCAGCAACACCTTTCTGACTTGGTAAAGGCGACTTTATCTAAAATGTTGAGTTAAAAATTCTTCCATTCTTCACTATGGTACAATAAATTAGACCCCTTTGGATGACACGAACTGCTGATTTTTAAATACAACTGTTATACATAACTATACTAGTAACACCTAACACGTAGAAAACATAATATAACACGAACAAAACAAAACCACACCAAAACTTCAAGACTCACCTGAGAAATCGTTATATTAAGTCTTGATGTATATATTTAGGACCATATGAATGTCCATACATTCCCCACCACAGTATACAGGTACTAACCTTCACAAAGAGGATAACAGAGGAGTACTAGGTGAAAGAGAGATGACTCAGAGTGGAGGAACGTCGTCTGCAGGAGGGTGTGAGCGATGAAGGTGCTGGCGCGCCCGTCTACCTTGTTGATATATAGCTCATTCACCCGTGTCTTACATACCATTCTGTAATTCTATTTTCTGTCGTATCAAATCACTATAGTATAACTTAACTTTCGATGTTACTTACTGAGGTTAACTTGGGTAAGAATAAGGAGAAAGTACCTGGTTGAGGAGAGGTGTGTGGAGGGTGTCGTCTGCTGGGGGTGGCGCGCTTCTACCACGTTGTTGTTGTGACACAGCTGATGGCCCGCACTCTCCATCCCTCACCACATTTGCCTTATTATAATGACTCCATTACGCCACTAAACATCTTATATTGAGTCATTTGGATGGTAACCCAACAGAAATATTGAAAGAGAAAGTAAGTTTCATGATTCTATTTATATTTAGCATATTAACTTTAGGTGAAAATGTGGCATGTGGAGCAGTGGCCTCACATGGTCTATGTTATGGTGTTTAGTGGTTATGATTTACCCTTGAGTGAGAGTTTGTTCGGTAAGTATTTATTACTATCGAAGTATAATAAAGGTTCAGTAGTACAATTCTAATTTATTTTCGCTAGCAAGAGAAATAAAAAACTTTCTTAAATTACATAACAATAATGAGGCGTTATGTCATGTTTTGTTAGAGGTCAGTGTATTAACCTCAAAGTGAAATATCCAGTCGGACAGTTAAGGCCAGCTTTTAAATATGATGTAATTACTTATGTTGGTCATGAATATTTTATACCAGGATCCAGGGGCTTAATTGTGGAGAAAATTTCTTTCTTGTGTCTGGTCAGTACAATAAATGTGCCACCTAAAACAATCACCATCTCTGAAATCCTTGGAGCCAAGACCATACTGGACTCTTTAAAAGTGATGATTTGTTAGGAAGGTAATACAGTACTTGAAAACAATATCACACACTAACCAGTAACTTTTGGAAATTTTCCAATAGAAGTTAAATGCTTTCTTACCTCAAGAAAATCTCATGCAATACTGTACATTGACAAGGATTTGCAATTTTCATGATGTCATATTTGCTATTTTTTCATCACGAGCACTAAATTATGTTAGCGTGCTATGATTAAATCTAGCTGTTTTGTTTACTTCCCAGGAACACTTATAAAAACGTAATTGATACTACTACATTATATGATTGGTAATATTAGAGGAGACTGCTAATACCAGAAAGAGTTATTCTGTTTCGTACATTTTTTCCACAAGTGTGAGTTATAAAAGTTATAAAAAAAAATTCCTGTAATTTTATTTATTTATTTATTTTTTGTTTTTCTCAACTTACGATGAGAAATCACCTGTAGTGGGCAGGGGGTGAAAGATGGGTGAAATTCTGTGGTAAAACACGGCGATAAACTGATCATATGGCAGTAATTTCATGTCTGAGTGCTTTGTAGGTGAAGAAATAAATATTTTAGCGTAATTATTGCACCGTCATTTCTCCTGTGGTGTCATGTGTTCGTGTCTCGCTGTAGCCTATCCTAGGTTATTTTGGTTCATTTATTTCTCATAAATCATGCAAGGCATTTAGAGTGACAAGGCCAAACTTGCCAAGCACAAATTTCAAGAAATGAAGTGGCTCTCTTGCCATAATATTGCAGCTAGCCTACCTATTCCATAGGTTGCATGGCCAGAGTTCAAATGGTGGACAGTTGCTGTGTGGTTGTTGGGTATTTAGCACATTGAGTGGAATAAGCTCATTGCAGCTTTCCATATAATACTGTAGTTAGGTTTCTATTCCTTAAGAACGTAATATCACGGCCACGCAGCGTGTGGGTTAGTTAGCCGCATTATTACAACCATAGGTTGAGTTTAGCTCCACATTCTTAATTGGTATGTAATTTTTGATGGAATGTTCACCTATGACTTTGTTTTAATGAAGACTGCAACTCCAGTTGTTGAGCAAGGACAATACAGGTTCAAAATCTACTTGTGAAACTGACCATAAGCAAACAAACCTGACCCAACAGTTAGAAGGTAGTTTTAATTTGATTGAAATTGAAAAATAAAGTTTGACCCCTTCACTCCGGATATGCTACTTTTATTGCTTTATTTGGCTAACACCAGACTTTTATTCAGCTCGGAGGCAACCCCATACACAAGGGGTTATACTCTTGTAAATACAGTACAGTATGAATAAAATTATGAGTAATTTTGATAAAATTGCATCAAAGACCATTGATTGTAAGCTTATCTTGAATGTAATATGTGAAGTCATTTTTACAGAAATCTTTGTCTTTGAAGATGATGTCAAGTGAAAGAATGGCAGATTTGTCTACAAGCAACACACCCTGTTTATCTCCTGAGCTGCTGTTAGGAACAATGAACACCTCTGATATGTTTGACACTAGGTAAGCTGTAATATTCATCCTCCTTCCTCTCCCAAAATATATGCAGTACTGTACAATATGTACACTCACTTCAGAAAGTATTTACAAGGTGGGTTCCAATGGAAGCTAAAATGAACACTGCGACTCCTATTGTCTAGGTAGGGTTGTCTAAATCCTTCGTCCGTTGTCATATTGTCTGGTAAAAAAATTGCAGATACTTTTTGCAGGGAGTGTACATGTATATACGGTACAGTATGGTATATATAAATACATGGGGAAACCCTCCAGCCATCACCTGACAAACCTTTAATGTACAGAACAATATTACAGTATTAGGTTAACTGTGATACCCTGTACCTATTGATTAATAGTGATTCTGGCAAAAATTTTGTGGCTGTACTTTAAATTATTCTGATCAGACATATTCATGGGATCGTGATTTAGTGTTTTATAATTTTATAATTAAGAATACACCTCGCCCTAAATCTCCATGGTAGTCACTGTATGTATATTTTGACATTGCATTGGTGATGTATTTCACAGGAAAGCAAATATTGTATCTGAAGTTTCAAGAGTGTTCATTTTTTCAGCTGGGACAGTTCATCAGGAGTGTACAGTGGATTTTCAGGCACAAGGAGCAGCTCTCCATCATTAAGTCCTCAAGCAGATTTAACTGATGACAACATTTTTGTCTGGGATTCTGACCATGTTTTACAGGCAAATCTGTTTGAAACAAACATTGAAAATTGCATTCAAGGTATGTAGGAGTAATTTTTATCCCTGAGTGGATAACATTTGTGCTGATTGTAACACAATAAGTAGTTTGTTCATTCTGTTAGCAGATACAATATAGAAATGCCCATTGTGTGCCACTGTAAATTTGGGAAATGTTAAAAGCCCCAATACAAGCTGTATCCATATCATTCAGGGAAGATAGTTTTCTTGCACCCATCTTCATCTACATTTCTACTGCACATCATAGGGTTTATTGTACACTATTACAGTTTATGCCATTTGGTGTACACTTGTGTTTACTTATTTTTTATTTTATTTATTTTTTTCAGATGAGATGGACTTGCTGACTTTTGCTAATGATTTTCATGTGGCTGAAGAGGACCTTGGCTTCCTTCATGACACAACAAGTAATATGTCAGATGCATCTTCCTCCTCCTCTACCATCACCTCCTACTCAGTTCCTCAGTCACCTGATCACTCGTCAGGAATTTCTCCAGATATTTCATCTTTAGACACATCTCCTACGTCTATGCTGTTTTCAAGTCTTTCAGCCAATTTATTGGAATCTTCATCTTTGAACTCTGTATTACCTGATAATTTTCTTAATGAAGAAACACAGGAGAACTCAGGTGTCTGCTCCAATGAGTTAACACATGAAAGTAAGAAGCTGAGGGTAAAGTCAGGAATTGAAGGATTATCTGGAAGGAGGGCTAACCACCCCAAAAAACACAAGAAATCACGGAGGTCTCCTCTAACTACAGCTTCTCAAGTGCCCTCCAATTCTAATATGTTTTCTAACTCTGTTCCTGTCTCACCTTCATGTGATCAAACTCCTTCAATGTGTCAGTGGTACAAAGTGTCTACTAAAGAAAATGGAGTTTCTCCAAGAAAAAAGAAAGTTTTCAATATTCTGGATAGCAACATTAAATGGTAAGCATATTTCTGATTGAATAAACCTACTCTCTTGAATGTTTGTTGAGGCAGAGTATCATTAAAGTTAGGCATTCTTTGGCAGATGTGAATGGTCAATTCAGTATTGAATACAGGCTGTCCCCCGACATATGACAGGGATACGTTCCTGGACCCATAGTTTAGATTAGGTTAAAGCCCATACAAAACAACAATAATATACCCATATATAACAAATAATGTAAATAAAGTGTTGTTAAACAATATATAATGAAGAAAATAATGTAAAAAATTTGGATATATATATATATATATATATATATATATATATATATATATATATATATATATATATATATATATATATATATATATATATATATATATATATATATATATATATATATATATATATATATATATATATATATATATATATATATATATATATATATATATATATATATATATATATATCCAAATTTTTACATTATTTTTTCATTATATATATATATATATATATATATATATATATATATATATATATATATATATATATATATATATATATATATATATATATATATACACTCAAAACGTTACTCTGACCACCTACGTGATACGGGTAGTCCCCATTAGAGGTTCACGGCGCCATAAGCTCGTTGAACAGGCTTTGTGTGAAATATAACAGAGTCTAGGACTGCTTTTAGTATCCTGGTGGTCTAGAGGTAGCGTTCCCGGTCACAGTCATGGGCTCGTGGGCCGTGGGTTCAAATCCTGGCGGGTGGAGGTGTTGATTGTATGTAGAAGTCCGTGTGCTTTATATATATATATATATATATATATATATATATATATATATATATATATATATATATATATATATATATATATATATATGTATATATATATATATATATATATATATATATATATATATATATATATATATATATATATATATATATATATATATATATATATATATATATATATATATTTTTTTTTTTTTTTTTTTTAACAGTAAACAGTAAGGGAATATATTTTTGGAGGAGTACTGTACTGGTTTTCCATTAAAGGTTTGAATGAGGCAACCTTTGCATGCAGCAGATGCCAGTATTGATGTTTCCTAACATTATCTTTGTTTACAGGAGTGATTTGAGTAGCAGTGAACAGTGGGCAGTTGGTGAAGGACTGGGTGTTGTACTCTCTCAGTTCCTAGGTGTTCGAGAGAGGCTTGATCTTGTTAATCTTCTCAGCTCCAAATCACCAACAGATGCTCCCATTATGACCAGTGAACATGATTTGATTTCATCATTAGATGATGAAAAGTTAGAAAGCATTCGTCGTTACTTAAGAGGACTGGGTAATGAAGAAACCACTTCAGTGAGCAGATTATCCAATACTTCGGTAAGAGAAAGCAAAGTTTACAGCTCCTGCTTTATTTATTTGTCTTCAAACATCATGCTGTTTAAGTTTGATTTTAGTAAATATTGTACTTCCTTTTATTTTGTGTGTTTGTGGATTCTGTGATGTGGCCAAGTGCCTGCTTCCCTCCTGTCTAAAAGTGTAGCTGGTTCACATCCACATATATCCCAGTCTGTGCTGTGAATGAGACCTTAACTTTACAGTTGAGGAAGTGAAGGCAGTTAGTGTAGTGTTTGGCCACACTGCCTCCTTGTGATCTAAAGGCTTAGTATTCAGTGTGTTATGTCTGAACTGCTCCCAGTGGGCTATTAGTTATGTGGTACCCACTTTTTACCATATTGACACTGCTTAGTTTAGTGTTAGTGAGTTATGTTTTGATGCACAAGTAGGAGCTGAAAGTGAATTCCCAATATGCTTCTGGTGTTAATGTTGAAAGTGATATAGGGCCTTCATACTAAAAGTTGGAGAAAGTTCTATGAATAATGATATGTAGTTAACCTTAATAAGTTGTTGTTTTTCTCAAGACTGGTTTATATAAAATATGGATAAAGGAGAGGCTAAGGAATGTCAACTTTGGGGAGCTGTCACTGATAAACCAATTGTAAACAAAGCTGAGTTATGAGGCAGTACTGACGTATGATGGTTAAAGTATATTGGAAGAGTGAAGGAAGTTGTACATTAGTGAAAATTTTTATGAAGAGAAGTCAGTGTATCAGATGTAAGATATAAAGGGGAGAGGGTTACACGCAGGCAAGAATATATTTGGTACTGTGGATGATTGTTTGGAGGTGTGTAGTGAATCTTAACTTATATTTGAAGATTACTTAGTTCGTGGTCAAAAAAAAAAGGGAAAGTGAGAATATAACCAAATAGAAGTTCAGTGTGCTATTTAAATTTGGGAGAAATATTTTAAAGACTACTTGATTCAGCTCTTATGTAATGGCATTGTGAATTTATGATTGATATTTATGTTTTCATTGCAGTATGGTAAAACATCCCAGAAATGCAGGAATAACAACAGCTTTAGAAAAAGGGGAAAATTATTTTACTACTCCAAAAAACCTAAGAATGTAGCTGGTGGAAAGGTTGATAAAAAGATCAAGCTGAGTCACCATCCTTCCACGCAGTATGCAGTGAGCCAGTCAGCAAGGCTTCCAACGCATGAAGTAAACACAACACAATGGTCTAATCATCACAAGGACCCCAAAAAGAGTTTGCCTCTGAAGTACCAGGGAAGTAAAAAAGGGAAAAAGGTAAATGAAAAAAATCTTTGTTTTCATCTTCTTAAATTTAAATAATTTCCTCACAGTTGGATGCTCATAGCAGAATGTCATCCAGACAACATGGTTCTCAGTTGTATTATATAAACTTACAAACGTTTTCCTTGATACTTAATACATGTTAACTGGACACCTATTGCTACTCTTCTAAGCCACTTGGGGCCCCCTTCAATGGCTCTCCTAGTACTGTGCACATGATTAGCCTTCACAAGATGCACAATTTCACATGTAAATTAAACGTACTAGTATACAATGTTTGGTTGGTGCCTAAGTAAACCTGACATCCTGGTAGTCATGATGTTTCCATACAGTCCAAATGTTTATCAGTACTGGTCCCTTTATAATGAAGGTTTGGCAGAATATACAACTTGAAAGTAATAACAGACACGACTAACTCTTTCACTCCAAGAATGCCTCTCTTAATACAGTACAGTAATTTATTTGGCTAAGGCCAGATGATTTTATTCAGTACACAATGGAACCAGCCCTCAAGGGGTTAAGCAAACATCATACCCAGGTACTGTATATACTGTATGTGATCATTACATTAGAAAAGTCATAAGGAAAATTCCTATAAATTGACAGGATCCCCACAATTGCACACAAAATTATATGGAGAGATTTAGTGGGAAAAACCATGCTGTTGTTTGTTATGCTTATGTGAATCACAGTTATTAGAGATTATTATGTGCAAAGATTTATAGCACAAGTATGAATTCAGAAAATTCTGAGACTGCAACTTTTAGGTATTAAGATGGCTTAAAACTTGGTCACAGTCTTGTGGTACAACCTTCCCAATTTTATTTTTTAGTGCATTTCACAAGACCTGCTTCAGTTGCGCACAAGAACTAGAAAGGAGTACAAGCAGTTGATGAAAGAAAAGAGAAGTGGTCTTTTTAAGCAAGAGGAGGTGATATGTGTATCAGCCGCAACTTGTCAAGGTGATGTCCAGCAACATGATCAAGATGAAGAAGATGAAGGCGATGTCGATATTTTGGGTTAAATACAAGTTATTTATTACCCCTCTGAATTCTTTATTTTTATGTAAACTTCAGAACAGATGCCAGATGGTATCTGTGTTTTTGAAACAATTGTTTGAATACATTTTTTTTAGCTTTTTATTAAAATATGTAATTCGTCAGCAGGATCAAGGTTCTTACAATATTTTTTATTGCATTCCTTGCACATTGCACTTACTTAGACTTCCAGAATTGTATAAAGTACGTCCAAAGAACTTGTAACAATTTTATATGGTGCTAGTAAAGTGATAAGGCTATAGCTTTAAACATCACCATGTCTATTTGAAAGGCATAGAAGTTTGCTTCAAATATTCCTTAAAATAATTATAGTGTATACAGCTACTCGACTTACGACCACCCGGACATACGACCGCCTCAGTCGTACCAAAATTTTGTCAAATTGCATATTTTCGAGTCCCAACTTCAGTGATTGCGCTGTGTAATGACAAAATTTTTATTTCTAATTCACTTTAAAGTGGCTAGCAAGCTTAAAAGTGAGAGTTTTGTGGTGCTGAGAAGAAAAAGAGACACCCATTTTAGATTTTCTATGTATTATTTAAGCATTTTCGACTTAAGGCCATTTTGGTTTACGACCTGGATTTGGGTCCCTAACCCCGTCGTAAGTCGGGGAGCAGCTGTATATCAATTCAATGATATTCTAATTTCTCTTATTTTTTAGACAACTGCAGTTTCATGTTTAATTAAATTTAAAAAAAAGTCATGACCATATTGACAACTTTTATGGGTAACATTTTTTTTTTATCCAAGGACAAAGAAAATTGCAGTCTTAGTTATGCCCCCTGTACATCTAAATCTTATACAGTACACAGTATTGTTTCCTTTTCATGATTTTATAAAAGTGCTCTTGAAAGTTTTATACCAGGAATTGAGATTAATATGAATGAAAACCTCAGATTACATTGACTTTTATTTACCAGAAAAACAAAACTAAAATAATCATTATCACTACTGTATGGCCATTTTCCAAGTTTGTAGTGTTATCCACGATTACCTAACTGTGGTTCTCGAAGCTGCACTGGGTTTTGTATGTGAGTTACATTATGATTATTAGGTGACAGATTAGTGGTCAATATTTCACATGAAAGATATTTTTAGTACAGCTGTAATTACAGTACATATTTGGTGACTGATAAGAAGAAATGTAACTAAACAATTGAACACAATCACTTCCTAGCTTATGATTGGCTATTAATTTATAACTCATTAAAGAAAATATAGTACGTAAATTCAAAATCTAAAAAGATTGAACTGTCATCATCTGATTTTAATGGTCTCGGCAATTACAAAAACTCTTTCTATAGTAAAAGGATTAATGTGTCTTTGGTATTAATTGGATCAGCCTGATCTAAAGTTAGTCTAAAGAGAGTGATGTGACAACACCGAGTGTGAACTCTTTCAAGATCATACACAGACCAACACTGGAGCAGGTTCAGATACATTCAGGAACCAGTTCATGCCCAGTGCTTTCCAACAGAGATGTGACCGACTGCCCACGCAGATAATGAGCCGATCGGTGGTGAAGAAGATAAAAGTAAAAAGTAAAATTAGTCTGAACTTTACTTAACCCCCACTCCACACCTGCACTTGTTAGGAGTGCTGTACACAGACTGATGTGATAATCTAATAAAAGAAATGTTCCCAATCCCAAATGGTCCTTTGAGTGTTTAGACTAGTTCATATCACAGGGGTTCTATAGGTTAATAATGTTTCAGTCTCTTCAGCAGGTGTAGTTAAAGACTGATTCAAGGTGTTTGAGCGTGGAGATAAATTTGGAGGCCTGATTAACTTTTTCCTCATTTGCTAGTATCAGGGACCCAAGCAAAAACCATTAGAGACCGCTTAATTACCTTGTGGAAGGTGCTTACACAATACTAGCAAGAGTAGCAAATAATAGGGGGTCCGACTAATTACCCAAATGTAGCCGCAATTAAGTCAACTAATGGTCCTACATGAATAAATCGGACTGCCAATCACCTCTCGATTATTATTTGGTGTCATAAAGTCACAAAAAATTGGTAAACTTAATTTAATCTGAGTTAATAGATCGAGTGCATGTACCTAACCTAACCTAACACAACACAACTCAGATTAAATTAAGTTTACCAATTTTTTGTGACTTTATGACACCAAATACTAGTCTAGAAGTGATTGGCAGTCCGATTTATTCATGTAGGACCATTAGTTGACTTCATTGCGGCTACATTTGGGTAATTAGTCAGACCAAATAATAGGTGATGATCCAGAAAAGGGTTTACTGGTGTGTACTTTCTCTTTTCTTGCTGTTTAAAATGGCTGTATTGGAGAACTTAATGCAGTTTAAAGTATTTCAACTCCAGTTCCTTTAGTAATATATATTTCTTAATTTTAATCGGGTTTCTTCCTTGGATTTAATGAGTAGGGTTTAGGTAACTCATCCAGACCACCTGAATCAGTGAGTACTGTACAACCCTTCTTTCCTCAGTTTTCTCTTGTGTGTTATACTATTTGTCATCTCTATTCTCAAACATTATCTCTCGTAGTTTGAGAGCCCAAAAAGGCAAACAGAGAATAAAAAAGTGTAGAGAATATGTCTCTCGGTTTAAGTAACGTCCAAGGAAGATAATGTTACTAACTTACCACGAAAACTTATTCATATATATTTAAAGGCAGATGACCCAAATGAAAATCTAATATCATGATTATTTGTCATTTTTTTGCTCAGTTAAAACAGATTTGGTTCGTTTATGTTACCCTAAGAAAATATTGATGTGGTGTTCGTGGTATTTATGTCAACATCATCACACGTCTGGTGAGTGAGCCAGCCAGTGGTAAAAGCTGTCTGCACCGGGGACATGAAGCCGCTGCTCCAGTTACCGTTATTGAAGAGGGCTTTAAAGCCGGCGTTGGCTTCACCTGTTTGTAATATATTGGTGAATAGACACTCATCACATTTTACCTACTTTCCTGACACCGTGCCAGAGTCTTCAGGTAAGTTATTACGATGAAACTTGAAGGAGTAAAGAATAAGTGGCTGCTAGGCTTGCCATTATCACGTTGACACAAGTATCTGAGGCTCCTGAGAATTGTTTATCAGCTGTACTAAATATTTTGAGATTATTTTTAACATTCAAGCTATTTTATGTTATTAAAACGTGAAATGTCTGAAAAATAAAAGATACCCGATTTTTAGATTTCTATGTTGATATTGGATAACTTATCAGTGAAGGTCGTACCAGAGAGAACGGGTCCCACTAATTACCCAAATGTAGCCGCAATGAAGTCAAATAATGGTCCTACATGAATAAATCGGACTGCCAATCACTTCTCGACTGGTATTTGGTGTCACGAAGTCACAAAAAATTGGTAAACTTAATTTAATCTGAGTTAATAGATCAAGTGCATGTACCTAACCTAACCTAACACAACTCAGATTAAATTAAGTTTACCAATTTTCTGTGACTTTATGACACCAAATAATAATCGAGAAGTGATTCACAGCCCGATTTACGCTTGTACGACCATCATTTGACTTCATTGCGGCTACATTTGGGTAATTAGTCGGACAGGTTATGACTAGTCCAGTAGTCTCCCGAGAGGCCCAGCAAGGGCCACACTCCATGGATCTTGTGTTAGTACAAGAGCCAACTGGAATACCCATAGAAAACTTGCAGTGTTCGATAGGGTCACCCTGGACAACACCTTTCTCACATCCAACCCAAGCAAGTATTGATCATGAGTTAGTGATGAGAAGTGAAGAGGATAAGTTTCATTAATATACTCTAATAATAACAATCCTCCAAGTTCCAACTGTTGGACATATCAACATAAAAGATAAATGTTTCCTTACCTTATGGTAAGGTCAAAAAGTGCACAAGGAATACTTTTCGCATAAGATCACTTGTGATTATCTATTACTTGGAGGCGGTTGACTAAGTTTCTCGAAACTATCATATTGAATTCGTATTAATAAATTTAAAAAGGGCTTATGTTTGTTTTATGTTAGATATGAAAATACAAATTCGGTACAGGGTAACTATTAATTCAGGTTAGGTTAAGTTAGGTTAGTTTGGTTCATTTTATGAAGGCTGAATTTTATTGATGAGCCATCTTGGAAACTTTTGGCAACTGCTAACATTCCTGAAGTACCAGATACTGCTTCATTCTATATCATTATTCATAAAAAAAAGAACATAAGAAAATAAGAGTCTGCAATAGGCCGGTTGGCCTGTGCATGGCAGCTCCTGTCGAGAGTTACCCGTACTACCACTCTCTATCATCCATGAATCTATCTAGCCTCCTTTTAAAATTTTCCAGCGTTCCAGCACTTACTACAAAGTTGCTAAGCTTGTTCCACTCGTCCACCACCCTATTTGTGAACCAGTTCCTTCCTATCTCCCTCCTAAACCTAAACTTATCCAACTTAATCCGTTGCTACGAGTCCTATCCTGCTTAAATACTTCTATTATATCTCCCCGCACTCTTTGTCTTTCTAGGGAATGCAATTTTAGTTTCTTTAACCTATCTTGATATGGAAGGCTTCTAAGTTCCGGAATCATTTTCGTCATTTTTGCTGCACCGACTCCAGTGAATTGATATCCATTCTATAATAAGGGCACCAGAACTGAACAGCATAATCGAGGTGCGGCCTGACTAGCGCAAGATATAGTTGCAATATGACCTCTGCACTCTTACTACTTACACTTCTAGATATAAAACCTAATTATCTGTTTGCCTTATTTCGAACATTAACGCACTGTTTTCTAGGCCGTAGGTCCGGGCTTACAAGTACCCCTAAGTCTCTTTCACAAGTCAACTTTCTGTGTTCGTCTTGAATACCCACAAAATGTTCTATGCCACTGTTATCTTAAAAGTAGGTTTTATTCTCGTACGGGAGATATATATACAAAGGGACCAAGAAGCTCACTTCCGCACCACAAGGACTGGCAGTCTTCACTCTACATGTATTACTGTGCGCTGGCCTGTACAGATGCCAGCATTCACAAGTTGAATACATACAATGTAAATATGATAATTTATATACATAATATGGTGCATAATAAATGGGAATATTACATAGAATTAATACATGTTCTGTAATACTTTACTATACATAATTAATGGAGTAATATAAGGGTACACAGCTTAAGGTACTACTTTGTGTCCATATCATACAAACTTCACTAGGTGATGCGCTCCTTCTGCATCTTCCGGCCCCGAATCTTGCTGGCATTCTTCACAACGAAGGTCTTGGAAGGTAGCTTTTTCCAAAAAAGACCAGATTCGTCCATGTTAAACACCTGGTCGTCGGTGTACTGTCCTTCCTCCATAATCTCACGTAAAAACGGAGGAAATTCCCTAGCCACAGCACGGTCAGCACTAGCTTCTTCACCACCAATGTTTATATTGGTGATCTTGTTCTGCATCTTAAACCTCTGTAACCACCCAGAGGAAGCATTAAAGGGTTTGGGCTCTGTAATTCCCATCTTTCGTGACACTGCAACATACAGTTCACGTGCGTAGTCCTTAACAGAGCGCGTGTCGACCGCCATGTTCCGTCGCGCCTGACGCACCAAGTAGCTCACAAGTAATTTTTCAGTCTTGAGAAGCATCTGGTTGTGAAAATACTTGATCATAGAAGCACCTGTAGACTTAATAATAATAATAATTAACGGTTTATTGAAAGAGCTTGGCAGCCAGAAGGCTGAAAATATACAGTTACATATTTGGGGATCTTGTGATCTTCATGTGCTCCTTTATCTTGGCTGCATCCTTCTTTATCGTCTGGATCGTAGATTCGTTCACACCATGCTGGCGCGCCAAATCAACCTGTCTTGTTCCTTTCTCTAACTCTTGGATGATCTTGTACTTCACCTCGTAGCTTAAGGAACATCGTGTCTTCTTGGGCTTAGGGCGGCTGGGTCCAGGTAAGGAAAGGTTTCTCTCTGGGGGCGGTGGTCCGGCGGAAGCCATTTTACAGAACAATGGATGCACGGTTACACGGTGTGGCCTAGAGGGATGAAACTGCCACGGCTAGGTCAAGCGTCGTCTTTCCTCCCTCCCTCCCTCCCTCCCTCCCCCGGGTGGACACGTCATATTACTTTAAACCAATTACAGCTAGCAGCTGAGGGAGGTAGGGATGCATGGCCAATACGTCATATGACGTCAGTGATAACGCAACAGAGACATGCACTGCGCAACCTTACCGCGCGGCTTGGCGAGGCGGGAGCAGGCGGGTGGGGCGAATCTAAAAATAGCGTCGAGCCGGACACTCCGCGTAATGGGGTACACGCACCGCGGAATGTGAGCATCCTGAGTTCCGGCAGGGCACCGCGTAAACGTGGAATGTGGGACCGTGTAAAGTGAGGGTTGACTGTATAGCATTTTTTCGATCTCTTGATGGTTCTCCCGGCCTCAGTAAAGTGTCCTAAGTGCAAGAACGAATGTAAATACAGTATCGTCAAGACCAACATACAGTGGGGTATGCTATAACGAATCTAATTGGTTCTAGAACCTTGTTCGTTATAGCATTCGTTTGTTATAGGATTAATCCGTTCTAGGCCCCCAAATACAACCACTTAACACTGAAAAATATAATATAAAATTGTAAAAATTGTAAAAAAGTGCATAAATATGCATCTAAACCCCTGAAATAAAGAATATCATTAATATTTGTAATAAAAAAACAATAAATTAGAAAAAAATAATTAAATAATGTTCGTTGTAGGAGTTTCGTTCATTATAGCATTCTCAATTTTATAGGTAAAACCGTTCGTTATAGGAATATTCGTAGTAGGATCCGTTCGTTACAGCATACCCCACTGTATGTGGCATTGTGGTAACTCCAACGACGAACGAGAACCAGGCCAATAAGGTAAGAAATAAGTGATTCCATCATATGGTGAGAGTCAGTTAGGTTAGGTCAGGGCAGGTTTATGTTTTTCTATTTTTTTTTTTTTTTTTTTTTTTTTTTTTTTTTTTTTTTTTTTTTTTTTTTTTTGTATTCGCTTAGCCATTATTATTTTTTTCGGAAAATGTTCCATGAAAAAAAAATCTAGGCAATTTCCAACAGAAATGAAGGTCATGATCGGTCTAAACACACAAGTACACTTGAAAAATATATTTATGACTTTCTAACAGAGTTGGGTGCGCTTATACAAATTTACCTAAAATATTAATTGTTTACACAGCATACCAGTATAGCACCTTGATAGTACCGCTATATACTGTGTGATAGTACAGTAGAACATTATGGTACACCTGGCTTACGATCCGCCATTTACATCAGCTGGTGTAAACAAACTGCCAGTGGCACCAACAACACCACGCGGCCAGCTGCGAAACTATGGGTCCATTACACTGTCGGCACACAGCTTAGACTTAGACTGTCATCCGCTTATTGACCCCCCAGACACTGAACAAGCCTACATGGCAATTTACTAAACCATATGAGTACAATAATAATGTAATTGTGTATATATTCAATAAACTGCCATTATGTATCATTAAACTGTCATTAACCCTGTAGTGTATGTGAACTCACAATCTTAAGCGCTATCATAAATTTGCGTAGATGGCATCCATATTGTAGTACCGGGTAGTTGTCTGGCTGGCCGCCTGGGTTTAGTGACGTTCTGATCGGTTGTTTACTGTGCATCAGCTGTTGGAAATGGCGTGTGGTGTTGTGTTGGAATTTACTAATTTATTTTAATATCTATGTTAAATAAGTTTACCAAACATGAATTTCAGTAGGAAATATTAGCGGCAGGCCACGGGAGTTACGCTAAGTGATGCACAGTGAGTATTAGGCAGGCTGTTCCACCTGTTTACCAATCTGTGGTAAAGCTTCACATTTTATACTCGGCTTGTAAGTCGACCTTTGGTTTTGGAGAGATTTTTTCAAGCTTAAAATGTCGACTTATACTCCACAACCATCGGTAATGTGGCAGAGCTTGGCCGCTTGAAATTTATGAAGTAGTGCATAAAATGTATTTCTTGTGCACTTTTCTGCCTGCCCATGAGGTAAGGAAGCATTTGTAGTATCGTCTATGGTGATATGTCTCATATTTGGTAGTTAAGGAGAGGCAGTAATACAGAACACTTGGCACTATACAGAGCATTTCCGGGTTTGAGAGATTTTCAGTATTAAGACGAATTATCTTACCCTGAAAAAAAATTGCACATCTAGGGAATTTTTCTGGGCGTTGGCGAATGTTTCCGCATCTCAACTATGCACCGAGTACCGTTGTGATAGCTGTTTTGGTATCACATTAATTGTTTTAATTAAGTTCTGGAAATCTTTAAGTGTCAGGGCTGTTTTTCCTTCATTGTCGAAGCACCTATATACACAGATATAATCTGAGAGAATAAATTATGAATTCTCTCCAGGGAGTTGTTGTGACTACTCTTTGAGAGGACACTTCAGTTACATATTCTTCCCTGTTCAAGTGGTAAGGTTCTACTACCTTCTCTGGGTGTGAGAATCAGCCAGTTGTTTGACCTGCACTCGACCTCTGAGATAGTTACAAGCTCAGCCGTGTATTATCGTCAACAGGTTGAATCATTGTTGAATAAGTTGGTGTTATTCATTTGGGTGAATATTTACGGTATATAAAGCAAAGGTGTTGTTACACTGTTGGTATAGAGGCTTAGCTGCAGTTGGACAGACACAGCAATAGTGTATTTATTTATGCAAACACTATTGTACACATACAGTATTATACTGTACGTGTGCAATACTGTTTGCATAAATAAATACAGTACCGCTCTGTATATTGTACTGTAGTGTAAATAAACAAAATATACAACAGTACTGTGCTGTATACTCTGTATTGTACTGGCAATATGATGATACTGTACAGGTTGGCCTGCCTTTGTCCTGTAGCATCTACTGTAGCAGGTGTTGCTAACTGTCACTCTCCTCTACCTCCATGAAGGAGGGATTGTATATGCACCCTCTACACACTAGCCTACAGTAGGCATATATACACTGTCCACTCTGATATGTACAGTACTGTACTGTATGTATGATACTTTCACACTTGCTGAATATACAGTACTACTGTACAGTACAGTATACATAATTTTAATCACTTTTTGCATCTTAACACTGCTTTAACAGTATTCTTGGCTGATTGTATCCTGTTACAGTACAGGCTGTAATGTACAGAACTGTAATGCACAATACTGAACATATGCAAAATCAGTAGCAAGTGAGTGAACAAGCTTGTATAATGGCAGCAGACAATGAACTAAGTATGTCGTGATGCTAGAAATTGAGGAGGTGGACTGCGAGAAACATAAACCAATCATAGGTCTTGCTTGTAGGCACATGGTGCTTGGCACATGTCTGTGCATGATGCAATCACTCAAAAATTCATTCAAATCTCCGGAATGGAGAGATTTTTCTTGGAGTGCTAACATTTTATTATTGCATCAATGAAATGAAAAGTTCCGGGGATCGAAGATTTTTACTAATGATGTTATTACAGTACTGTACAGACTACTGTATTACTGTACTCATCATTGACTATTTTTACCCCCCAGTGCCACTGATTGATGTGAGTGCATATTGTATAATCCATCAAATTAAAATAAAAATCACACTGAGTATTGTATATTTAACCCTTAGGCCCCGGGTGACGTTCCAGAACGTCCGCCTATTCCCACCACTGTTTAAATGTCCAGCGCGGGTTATCAGGTTCCAGTGTGACTATTTGCCCATCACGCCACACCTCGGCCACAGGGAAGCTTCCTGAACATAATTACCTACTTTTGTTTGTTTCATTTTCATTGTTTGTCTATTTTATCATGTTGTGTCAAAGTATTATTGCTTAAAGTAGTGAACAGTAGATGCATTGTAGTGTAGTGTTGCTGCAAAATAATGCTATGATTATGTTAAAAATGTATTTATTTATGGAACTATTATTATTTTATGCATTACTTGCTCTACCAAACACAAAGACAGACAGGCAGACTGGCGACCGACTGGTGAGCGTTGCCAAGCACTTTTTATGAAAAATAATGCAAATAAAATATTCTAAATGAATTATTTATAGCAAATAATTAAGATCAATAAATTTATGTATTATTGGCCACTTCAAACACAAAGGCGAGCTTAAAATATCTTAAGTGCGTAACGACCACAAGCGTCGGCTGTCAAACCAGCATGGTCTCCTTATCTCCCCCCTCCTCCCTCCCACCATGCGGCCAGGGAAGTTTCTAGAGGGTCAATAGATAGTTTTTCTTACTTATTTTTGTTTTTGTTTTATAATTTAAAAAGGTTAAAAATTGTTTTGGGAAAAGTTTTTTTTTCGGGGGGGGGGGCTGCCAGCAGCACCCTAACCCTGGGCTTAAGGGTTGAACTTGAATTTTATTAATTTCTGAAGTATATCTTTGTTTGTATTGTATACATCAGCCATTGTGTTGTGCAGAACATAGTTTTGAAGTTATGAGTCGGGAGGAATTTGTCAGTGATCCCCCTCTTTTTTTTTTAAATTTAAACTAAAACAGTTGCCTCTCACCATTATGTCATAGGTTCAATGCTGGGTTGGATGTTAGAAGGTGTTATCTGCCAAACACCACAGTTTTTCTCCAGGTTCTGTGGTTTCATTCTGTGTTAATACTGAAATATGATGGTCATGACAAAGAACAAACTGACTGCCCAGATGTCTAGTATGCTGACAAGTGGGGAAAATGATACATTAAAACAAGAAAAAATTACATAATGATGGGATAATCTCCTAGTTTCAGTAGTATGGGGCTATGGAAGACAAGAAACCGGTACTGGCAATACTGTACAGTACAGTATAATTACCGGTAGGAAAAAAAATTTACAAGGAGAAACTGTACACTACCTAACCCATTCAGCTTAACCTAAGTGAACTTGCTCAATATATTTAAATTCTTCTCTTTTTATTGACATAAACCAGATGTTCCCAATTTTTTTTAATCTCTGCAACATTACCTATACAATAGGAGGAAATTATCAACCCATCTAAATATCACATGGAAAATATCTACTGGTCTAATTATGAAACTCCCCATGATGAAGTGTCTCACCAGAAGTAGATTCATACACTTTATTAATACAAAGGCATGATAGTTTACCCTAATACATACTGTACAATACTGTACTGTGAGAGGAGTGATAATTTTTTATAGTTTATTGATTTGATGTTAAGAATATATAAACTCCAAAAATATAACTGGACAACTAATAAATCAATATATTTCATTTTTAGTTTACTATATTTAACTATATGATTTTTAAACAGTGCCCTTGAGTTTAGATAATTCCTGGTACAGTACTGTATACAGTAGTATATATAATTGGTTGATACTACAGTACCTGGCCAATATTACTTAAGTCTCTCGATTAGTCACCTAGGTGAGTTTAAAAATGGAGTTTATAATGAGTCCTCTTTATTTTTTTACATGCTTACATTCAATAGATTTAAAGATAAGAATACAGCGTAGTAATACAATACAGTACAGTAATTTGATAATTTCTTTATTTCAGGTGAAACACAGAGGTTGAACCTGTTCCAGTCCATCAACAATGCTCTAGATACTGCTCTGTCTACAGATAATACTGCAGGTTGTCTTATGATCATTCTAGAAGTTATAAAAGTCTCTCTCTCTCTCTCTCGTTGAATTATTAATGAATTATTAATTAGCATCCATGCTAATGTGTTGGCTCAAAGCCACAGTCCGGCATGAGTTTTTCTTGTCATAACTTGTGTTTTATTGCTTCCTGTACATATTTCTGAGTGCCTGTATCTTAAAATCATGCTTATTTACCATTATACTTAAGGATAGTTTGAGTTATGATCAAATTTTTATGCAAAAGTAGGGGTCAAAATATATTTGCATAATATTTTTGTGGGGTTAAAATTCATCCCTTTCTATGGGTCGTTTACTGTGAAAGATAGCTGTCCGTTACAGTACGTGCTTGCGATAGACTTTACCAATAAGCTCCGTTATCCTGGGCTTGCCTACCATACCCCTAGATTCTTTTTTTATGTTGCTTCTGTAAATGAAGAGCAGAACCTCATTCACTATACAGTATATGGTGCTTTAAATCTACAAATACTTCATACAAATGAAGCCTTACAAATAATTTTCTTTTCATTTGCATCTGTTAACATCACTCATGGCATTGTTGTCAAGTTAGACTCGTCACTGTTAACCTATTTCCCTAGACCTCTCAATACCTGGCCGAGCTGTGTGCTATGTTATGGTTATTTTTCAACTAATAACTTCAGATAGATCTACATAACTTTCTTAATATTTTGTACTCATTTACATGCACACTATCGGAAGGTCAAAAACACGAAGGGAAGAAACAATTCTTCGTCTGCGAAAATTAGCCCACTTAGCAGGGAAGGGGGAAGCATCATCAGGAACCCCCATTGCTCGGGGGTAGGCAGAGGCAGCGTCCCAAAAGGGCTTCATTGCTATGAAAATTGTCTAGGCTAGGTGGCCAATGTTCCTGAGGCTTTATGTACACAAACTTGTATAATTTTTACTACCATAATATATTGACCACCTGTGGCTTGATGAATTCTCTGGTCTGGTCCTAAGGTGTTGTATTGTAGAGGTTCAACCTGTATTGTTCTCAGCATCTTTCATGAAGATTATGTTAATACAATTGCCCTTTATAATTTAGTATTTATCTGTATATGAATTAAGAGGATTTGCTGTAGACCTTATGTCATAAACATGGTTTCAGAAATCACCTTACAATAAAATATATTTTGTACTACACGTACTTCCTTGTGGAAAGACAATTGATCTTTATTGACTTGAACTTTTAGGTAACTACTAATTTAAGGATCAAAAATGTATATTAGATTACTCAACAAAACTGTATGATTTCAGTGGTGTTTGGTGAGGATGTTGGTTTTGGAGGAGTGTTCCGGTGCACCATTGGACTTCAAGATAAGTATGGCAAGGACCGAGTGTTCAACACACCACTTTGTGAACAAGGAATTGCTGGCTTTGCCATTGGAGTTGCTGTTGCAGGGGCCACTGCCATTCCAGAAATCCAGTTTGCAGACTACATATTCCCTGCATTTGATCAAGTATTTATAAATTATATACAATACAGTTTATATAATAATGTGAAATTTTGTATAGCATTTTACACTAGACTCCCAGAGTTAATAAATTAGAGAACATATTCATAAAATGTAGTTCATACATTTGTCAGTAAATAATGTGTTTCATGATCTTTATGTTCCAATATTTATTCATATGGGGTGGATTAGGGGATCTGTACCTGCCATTTAAGAGTTATAAAAAAAAATTCACTTCTTTATTTTAAATTACTCCAGACTATAATATCTAATTTTAAGACAGAACGTAGCTCACTTGTTTCTTATAATACATTTCAATATTTTCAGCATTAAGCAGAATAGGAATAGTGAAATAAGTGATATGAACTGATATGATACTACACACCTTTATTAATATAATTTTATACAGAGAAATACAGTTCAGTACTGTACACATATAATAATTCAAAGGATGGATAAATGACTGGATGAGGGAGGTATGTTTTGTCTTTTAGTCAAGGTCAACTTGCGTTAAAGTAAGTGGGTAAAATAGAATTAAATACTGTAATGGAGTTGTTATATAGATTGAAAGAATTTATCTAATTAAGTTATTTTTTCCTCAGATTGTAAATGAGGCAGCAAAATATCGCTACAGATCGGGCAACATTTTTGACTGTGGAAATTTGACTTTCCGAGCTCCTTGTGGTGCAGTGGGTCATGGTGCTCTTTATCACTCTCAATCACCAGAAGCATACTTTGCTCATACCCCAGGACTCAAGGTATGACTCAAGGCAGTGTTCTCTAGTTATCTGTAAGTTAGGTTTTTATTTGCACTCACAGCAATTAAATAATTGAAGATTCTTGTGTTCCTGACACTCTACATCTGAAAACATACTGGTACTGTTAACTACCTAATAAGTAGCTTGATGTTAGTGACTGAAGTTTCATCTAGTTGCATTAAGATATAAGATGTGAATATCTGAATGAGTGTAGGACTACAGTGCAGTAAAAGCATCTGTATAAGGTGCAGTATTTATTTATTTATTTATTTTTATTTTATTTTTTTAACAGAGATTAACCTACCCGGGCACAGATCACTGACCCACATCGGGGCCGAAAATGTAATAATAATAATAATAATAATTAGTTCATAGTAAATAAAATATATAATGAAAAATACAAATTAAAAATAACAATAATAACAACAACACTGATAATAATAATAATAATAATAAAGAACCATAAAGAAATACAAAAATGAAAAAATCAATAGTGAGAAACAATATATGTATGTTGTGTTGTCAAAGTAAGAGAAACAATTGAGACCCTGCAATTGTGTGTAAATGAGGCAGAAAGTCAGATCAGCAACCTGGGACTTGGTCACAATTTTTGTGATGCCATATGGCAGCAGGGTCTACCATTAGACAATACATTATGCTCCCAATATCTTCCCAGGTGGTAGTAACTTCCTGTTTGATAGCTGCCTACAACCTACTATAGTGCGTTTTTTCTCGGTTGAGAAAAGGTGCCCCGCCCCCTCCTCAAGAGTTACAGCTGATTGGCTGTTGCAAACCTGTCCGATTTTGTCCCGAAATGCAGTAAAGCCTCCGATAACAACGTGTTCGACCAACAACTTTTCACATATAAAACCCTAGTTAATTTAGGACCCAATTATATTTACGTCCTTATTTCATTCGTATTTATGACCAAAATATAATAAAAATAAAATAAAATTACATTTTCATATAAATAATAACTAAATCCTGATATGAATTATAAACAAAAATTACTGTAAAAAAAATTAAGATCACCTTGCACAAGAGGCTACCTTGCTAATGAGTGGTAAACAACAGTCGGAGCTTGGCGGGCCTTTTGTTTTCACGCATCTGGAACTGGAGAAAAACTTTCTCAGGTTTCTTACAGCATTTTTGCATCCCTATTCAGCATGAGCAAGAGAGAAAGTGATGGTAGTGTTGTTTCAAAATCTAATAAAGTGTATAAGCTTAGCCGAGAAACTAGATGTGTTAAAACGATATGAAAAAGGTGAGAGGTCTGTGGATATTATATGGAGCAAGCAATGAACATATTTTCTGAAGTGGATCCAATAACAGAACAAAGCATTAAAATATAAAAATATTCAAATGATCTCTACATAAAGATGTACAGGGTGTCCCATAAGTTTCCATACATATGGTTTTTAACATTGGATTGGTCGGCGTGGTCCTGTGGAGTGGCCTCCCAGATCCCCAGACCTTACCCCACTTGATTTTTACCTTTGGGGTCATTTGAAGGCCATGGTGTATCAGGAAAAGATACAAAACATAAATCATCTCGAGCAACGTATCACCAACGCCATTACAAGCATAACTCCAGCTGTGCTTGAACGTGTTCTTCAGCAGTGGAGGACACGCATTGAAGAGTGTTTTCAACAGATTGGTAGTCATGTAGTGCATATTATATAAATAAAAGTGGATTTTCATATAAAAAGGTTTATTTTTCCTATGTATGGAAATTTATGGGACACCCAGTATAATGAGAAAAAAAGGCAGCTGTGCAAGGTTCTTTTGACAGCTTTATTATTCGAAGGCCTAAACCATCAAATTGAGCATCATAAGCAGCTTCAACATCAACTTCAGGTTCAGTAACAGTTTCAGGAACAGGTTTATGGAAACCTACAGTTTCAGCCAGCGTTGAACCTTATGACTTCGTCATCTGAGTAAAAACTCGCACAATATTCATTGGCTGTCCTTATGTTTTAGACTTGCCACCATTGGTGAGTAGAATTTTTGTTTCACATTTGTAAATATTATTTAAAACATATATGAACAGTAAATAAGTGTTGCTTTCATATTCATATGAAGAGAAATGACGATATGTTTTCTCATGTACGCACTTACTGTACATACGTTGGCATTCCCAATCGTCACGCTTTATTTCTTTACCTGAAATATTACCATGGTGATTGCAGGAGGTAATTTCTGTACCTATATCAGGGAGGGGAAACTGTGAAAATTTGTTAGTGTTTAATAAAACAATGGCACTAATTCAGTAATGAGTGTATAACAACTTAATGTGCCTAATACTGTGAGAATGTAAACAAATGTTATGCATTTTTTGGGTAGTGCCACACAAGTATCCCAAGACCTAAAAACACTTGTCACTTAACCTTTTCACTGCGTGTCACGCACTTGTCATTTTATTCTGGCTACCGTCAGGCCATTTTATTCTGGCTCCCGCCAGACGAATTTATTCAGCTTAGGGTAACCTCCCGCTGTGAAGGGGTTAAACCAGGGTTGGAAAAATTCATGATTTTTCTTTTCTTTTTTTTTAATACAAAAAATCGATTTATTTGATTTAAATTGGATTTTTTTTCATTTAAATCGATTTTTTTTTTACTAATTGCATCAAAATAGTATTTTTAAACCATAAAAACAGTATTTTTCAACCAAAGCTTATTCAGGATAATAAACAGAAAATTGGCATTAAGATATTTATGCAGTAGATGTACCAATGGAATTTAACACAATAATATTCTTTTTGTAAAATAAAAGAAAACTGGTAACATATCTTACATTTGAGTGCACAAATCCAAAGGTAATAATGAAATTTAACATAAATGCTCTTATAGGATTACAGTGTTTCAAAAATTAATAACTTAACTTCTTCAAGTCAACAGAATAATATTCTCATTTTGTAAAAAAAATAATTCTGGTAACAAGTTTATTTTCTTACATTTGTAGGATTATGGTGTATTAAGAATTACCGGTAATAACTTCAAGTCAACACAATATTCTCATTCTGTAAACTACAAAAATAGTTCAAAACATTTAAATTAGCATAGTTGAACATTGAAATGCTTATGTACTGTGACAAGCTTAGATGCCTTTTCCTGTCCTAGGCGATTTATTACCTTTGAGTGTACAAATCCTTATGTGGAAAATGTTCTCTCAACCCCTGCTGATGATGCAACAGCTGTAAATAATTGCCTAGGAGCATCCATTACATTTTCTGTCATATCATTGGCAAAATACTGCCACCAAGCAAGGGGTGAGAGAGATTTTACAACATCTTTACCAAAATAGACCTCTTTAAATGGTGCACTTCTTCCATGGAAGGACATTAATGTTGAAAGGAAATGTGGAAGAGACTCGCACACATACTGTTCTGCAATGTCTTGCTGCTCAGGAGTCAGATGTCTGCCCTGATACCTAGGATCTATCACATTAGCTAGAAAATGGGCAGGTGTCAATGCTACTTAGATTTTTTTTTTCAAAATTATCCATATCCTTCTTTTCTGTTAAATACTCCTTAATATCAGTTTTCAGTTTTACCCAGATTTCTACAGCATCACTTAATAGGGTATGTTCTCTCTGGACACAGTCCAATGCCACAGCAATAGGCTTAAGTCTCTCTAAATAGTCTTCTGCAGTTCTTTTTAATGCCTTATCATTAACTTTCCTTTCAATTTTCTTATCAATGTCTTCTCTATTTTCCTTGCACACTTTGACAAGGGTCTCCCAGTTCTTTAAATAAGATTCAATATAATCTGTCACTGTGTTCCATCGTGTGTCTGATGGCATTACTAGCATTGTTCCTCCTGCTCTTCTATACAAAGATCCTGGGATGTGATGGTTTCTGAAGTACTTAATGATTTCAGTAATGTGCTCCTTAATGTTCTTGATTTGCAGGTCTTGTGAAAGCAAATTTAACAGGTGTGCAGAGCAACCATATGTTATAATGGATTTATCTTGTCCGAATTCACTTCTCATTTTTGCCATATTAGCAGCATTATCTGTTACACAGCTTACTGTGCATCCAAATTTGTCTTCACACTTTTTTGTAGCACATTCAGCTAATTTCAACAGATATTCAGCTGTGTGTCTTGATTCTGTGTCTATAGAGTCAACAAGATAAATACGGTTGTCCGCTGTTAAAGTTATACATACTATAGGCTCATTATGGACATTACTCCATCCATCCATGGCCATGCAAACTGTTTTCCCACTAAGTTCTTCTGAATAATTCTTAATCACTGAATCGTAGGCTTCATCCAAAAGAGACCCTCCAATTTGATGTCTATTAGGTGGAACATATCCTGTTGCATATATATAATTAGCAACTTGCTGATCCAAAGTGACTTTTTCAGACTTAGTAGTTTTTATCACAAAACCAGTTATGCTTCTTTGTTCCATAGAACTATCCCTCTTATCTCTCTTAAATGGTGAGGGAAGGCTTAGGTAGGAGTGTATTCCATGTAAAATTACATCCATGCTGCAAAACATCATTTAGCCACACCACAGGTCTTACTTTTACTTAATATCCTCTTCACCACTGATCGGCTCATTAGCTGCTTGGGTGGTCGGTCACATCTCTGTTATGCACTGTTGGCAAGTACTGGGCATGCACTGGTTCCTTAATGTCCTAGTTTTTACCTCTTAGAAAAATGCATCTTAGTAGGAATGTGTTTTAAATATGCTTTACTGTCTGTAATAAGTTAAATGTACTGTAGGTGTAGGAAAATGGGATAAAATAAAAAAAAATAAAAGAATGAGGAATCCTAAAAAAAGTGCATTGTTAGAGGTGGTTAGCATGGAATATTTTGCAATTTTGCAAGGTAGAAAATGAAGCAAATGGATGGAACTATTTCATAAGATTTTGCATTAATAAGGCATTGCAGCAATAAATATTTTGTTTTAGAGGTCTTATTACCATACACATCATATCCTAAGCATTTTTGTTCTTTTAATTTTTATTTATGGAAGTGATTTAACCAACTTCTGTATTCTTTAACAGGTTGTAATACCCCGAGGACCAATCAAGGCAAAAGGACTGCTGCTCTCCTGCATTCGTGACAATAACCCCTGCATCTTCCTTGAACCCAAGGTTCTGTACCGCTCAGCTGTAGAAATGGTACCCACCAAGGATTACACCATGCCACTTTCATCTGCTGATGTTCTAGTAGAAGGTGATCTTTGTTTCTTGATAGTTTATGTTCAAATGTTAGTGATTAATTCATTTTCTATTAGTTTGACTCATAATATTGCAAAATATAAATTTAGAGGTTGTAATAAGTTTGTATTTGTGTCCTTGCTAGAGATATTATTATTATTATTTTTTTTTTTTCAGAAAAAAAAAATATTTTTTTTTAATAGATTTTTCTTATTTCCAAGTTTGTAACTACCATATTTGGTACATTTGATTGAACTGCCTCCTTTTCACCTTTCCATCTGTGTATGATTGACAGGAATATTGATCAATTTGGAATTCCATTTTCTGTCCACCAGTACATAGGTTAACAACCTTCTGTCTTTTACCTTGTCGTGCCTGTGTGTATACTTGTGAATTACAGGGGGCCCCCAAAATTCGCCGCGGGGGTTAGGCTCCCAAAATGGCTGCGAATCGCCAAATCCGCAAATAATATTTGCGGACCGGGGAGGGGGGGTTGTGGGTACATTTTTACTCGTGTACAAAGAAATGTATATTCCCTTTATGTGTTTGCCCTTAGGATGGTTATTTCTTTTACCTGTAGTACAGTATATGTGTGTGTGTGTGTGTGTGTGTGTGTGTAGATACTCACACAGATACACACACACACACACAAAACACATACAATTAAATAATAATTGGAAAATCCTCTCACAAATAATCAGAAACAAATTTATTAAAAATGTGAGTCTACCCACATGTTCATGCTCTATTAATAAAAAGTAATACGTATCTCCCTTAGCTAGAATCCCTCAAACCCGGAACTCTCCGATAGCTGGAATTGAAATTTTCTCGGAAAATTGTTCCCAAAACCGTAATTTTCTTGATAATTCAGGCTTTGGGAACGATTTTCTGAGGGGGCACATTTTCTGGAACCCCAAACCGATACCCGGAAAATTCCGAGGATGAGGGATATTTTTCCGGGTTCGAGAGATGATGTAATGGGCAATTTCTGGAACTTCCTAGAACATTTTTCCGTTACCCGGAAAATTTGGGAAAATTCCGGGTATGACAGATTCGTCTCGTTACCCGGAAATCTCTCATTCCCGGAAGTGATCTGCACCAATTGTTCCGGCTAACGGGGATGTCACTGCACTGTAATAGAGCACGGACTTGAGGGTAGACTGTCACTTTTTTTAATAAATTTGTTTCTAATTATTTGTGAGAGAATTTTCCAATTATTATTTAACTGTATGTGTTTTGTGTGTGTGTGTCTACACACGCACACACACACATATTTACAATACAGGTAAAGGAAATTACTGTCCCAGCCGCGAAAATGCCGGCAACTTTAAAACTACCCACAGACATTCTTGGGTACATCCAGGGTGTCATCTGCCGCGAATAACCAGAACCAAAAAAAAAAATCCGCGAACTTGGGGGCTCCTTTTTTTTTTCTTTTCTAAATGTCTCCCATTATCAACCCTTTCTCAGCCAACATTTTTATCGAGTATCTTTCCATCTTTTCATTTTCTTTCTTTTTTATTCCCCATATTTCCCCACCATTCTTTCCATTTCCTTCACCCAATTATTTCATTAAAATCCTCCATCTCTATCACTCTATCCCGTGTATTGAAGCTTATAGCATCTGTTCTTGAGCTTCCTATTACCATCCTCTTTCTTCTCCCCTTTTCCATTAACCCATGATGCAACTTTAAGTACCATCACTAAACAACATAGCCAGACCCTTTCACTCCAACCTTTTCAGACAGTTTACACCTTACAACCCTCATCACCCCACCTCCTCTCCTGTGCCCCATCACCGTACATGAACCCAAATCATTCAAATTTCTTTTTGTCTTTGTAGTTTCAGTCGCTTCTTTTTATCATTGTAATTACTGTATATTAAAATGTCCGAGTGTTATTTTCTTTTCTTGTTTCTAGGAACTGAATACAAGAAAGTAATGTTACCAGCACTGACCATCTGCATACTGGTATATATATCCCCTCTTGGGGCACACTTTGTATAATAAATCAAAGGGATGGAATAACTTAATGTATCAATACAATATTGATAATCCACAGGTGAGGATGTGACACTTTTAGCATGGGGAACACAAGTCCATGTGCTAAGAGAGGTGGCAGAACTTGCACGTCAACAACTGAATGTGTCCTGTGAAGTGATAGATCTTGTCACCATTCTACCATGGGACACAGAAACTGTTTTTAATGTAAGTAAGAAGCTTTTGTGTGTTAGTTGAATGGGCGAATCACCCACATTATAGTAAAGTAAAGTAACTGGATTCTTATTTCCATATTGTTTTATTTATTGTTAGATTATTTATTGGTAGGTGGAAAATTCTGGTATAGTATATGCAGTAGGCTATGCTATCAACACGTTAGGTACAGATCTCTTGTCGATAATAAATTTGGGCGGATAATTGATGCCATTTAGTAGTCAATTAGTAACACAAGAACCTAAATACACAGTGAAGATTTCAGCACATTACTGTAACTTTTAAGAACATTCATTAACCTTTAAGAAGTGTGATGACACTTCCTTGAACAATTTCTTGCATCATTTTAGCCATTACATTTGTTCTACAGTATAATCTTTCATTGCCTTGGGTTTGGTGCTTGGCAGATATTGAAAATGAAGTTCATGCATTCCTGCAACATTTCTGCAAGTTAAGAAAGTGATTCTGTGCTTGTACAGGATTGTGTAATTCATTGTTGAATTATACTCGACAACAGCTACAATCAGTGTAGGCAAATATCAGAAACAGGAAACTGCTTTATCAGTAATGTAAAGTTATTCAGGAGAGAGGGTAGGTGATGTGCCAGGTTTTAAAAATCTCTGATGTAAGCTCTGGTCATGGTGAGATAGTTACAGTATCTGACATGTGAGATCACAGTGGCTGTAATCATGGCTCTAATATTGGATGAAGGTAGGAGGTTAGAGGTACCTTACATACATGTTGCTGCTATGTCACCATTACTTATTTATTTTCAAACTGATGAAATTATCTGTTACTCATATACTGCTGTGTCAAACTGTTGATCTTGTTCCATGCAGTGATTTATGCTTGGCCATGTTTGTTTTGCTGTGAGCACAGAATTTCAAAACTTGTTACTCTGCTTCTTGACTTCATAAACTTTTATTAGTTTTTGTAATATTTTAGCCTTTTGCATGAAATTAACCTTTTAATTGGCAGTTAAGGATTCCTTACTCCACTCCCATGTGTGCTAAAATGAAATGCAAAGAACATGAAATGTCTGTATTTGATGGCTGCTGTCCTTACAGCTAACTTGCACTAATGAAGGCTGTTGTTAAAGGGTTAAGAGTAATATCACTTGGTCTTTTCTTGGAAGCCAGTGTTAGGGTAGGATTTCTGAACAATGCAACATTATAGACCATACGACATGATTGTGTGCAGGAGAACATAAGAATTAACCCATCGAGTGGTAGAGGTCTCTCAGCTGGCATTAGCCAAAATAAAACACATAAGTGCAACACTATTACTTTAAGGGTTAAAGCAGTTAAACTACCAAAATCATGCTTGAAACATAGTGCACACTTTCAAATTGAAACTGTGTGGAATCTTGAATTTCAGATTTTAACTTTTACTGTACAGTACTGTCAATCATTAATATTTGGAACGTTTTTATGCTTTCTGAATGAAGGTTGATTCAACATTTTTTTTTTTTTTTTGGTGTGTGTGTGAAGTTAACCCTTTTTGTGCCATTTTACCGCTTTTTCAATCCATTCATTATTGATAAGTACAGTTGGCTTCACTCCTTCATTTACCACTTAGCAGCATTGCCAATCATCTCACTCCCTGAGATGTGAACCCTGAACTGTGAAATGTGAATTCGAAGAATTCACTAGTGAGTTGGAGGGAGAGCAAATGGGTGTGTCAGGATAGATGGGGTACGAGGGGTGAGGAAGGAAAGTACATATCAGTTGGGAGAGATTGCAATGCAGAATAACGCTTTGACAATAGGGGTGTCCTCAGCTGAGTGTAATCATCTAGAGCTAGCCAGATGTAAATAATGAAGTTACAAAAGGATGAGAGAGGGATGATTTCATGTTCTAAGTACCCCCAGTAAAGTGTTCCTTTGCAAATGGATTATGGATATGCTTGAATCTACATCTTATAGAACCAGCAAAGTTTTGTTTAACCCCTTGACTATGAGATGGAACTTTCCAAGCTGAATAAAATTGTCTAGTGGTAGCCAGAATAAAATATGAGAAGACATCATACTGAAGGGATTAATTAGCTGAAAATCTCAGCTTTCTTTTTCTTAGTGTCATTATATTTGACAAGGGAGCTGCCTCACCTCACCCCATGACACCACACTTGATCTGAGTTTTCCAATGTCACTTAACTATGTATCCTCTATATCTTCCATGTAGCCTTGTATTCATGTTCTTTATAGTGTGACTTGTATTCACTACTGATGAGGAAAACCACATGTTTTAATATATAGTTTTTTTAACGTTAGCATGAATTAATACATTTTGTAGATACGGTACTTACAATAAGTATGCTATGGATAGTGTATTTTTATTTATCAGTGTTTGACTAGTTGTTAATAGTGCTGGGTTAGTACAAAAATGTGGGTAATTTAAGTTTTCTGTTAGTTAGACTCTGGATAATCAAAGAGTTGTACAGTATAGTACTGTATTAGTTTACATTATATTGTGTAAACCCTACAGTTGTCTCTCACTTACACACTACTGGCCTTCCCAGATTGCTGTGTTGTAGTTTTGTCTTATAGTTGTTTTCTTTTATGATTTTTTTGTCCCCTTTCCTGTTACAATAGTAGATTTTAAATTTTTTTGCTTTCTTACATTTTTGTCAATGGGTATTCAGTAAACCCCTGCTATATCGTGGCTCACTATTACGTAGCAAACTAATTAGGTCAGGGACACATGTGTATATTGTGGTAGGGTATTTGAATTATTGTTGTGTAAGACAGGCCCAGGATTCATGACCCCTCCTTCCCTGGTTTCACTACCACTTTCTTGTAGCTGAAGATATAATTGTGCCTAACTACAGTATACTATTTCCATGCCAACGTGGCCCATTAGCCACTCCCCTCATCTATTGATACAAATAGCTGAAATCATTCACATTTTGGTATCCCCGATATGTAACATTATTTTAGATAATAACAGGTCTGCTTACCAATTAGTTTGAATAAATGGACAGCTACATGAACCTTTTCTATGAACCAATCAGCTATTTTTATAGAAGAGGGGCGTGGTTTACGGGCCAGGTTAACATTGGAATACTGTACTATAGTCGAGTTCAGCTAAATCACAGAATCTAAAAATAACCTCAGAATTGACTATTGAGATTCATATTTATATGATATCATACATTGATCACTTGACAACTGTTTCATGCTTAATTGATTTGTTGTGATGTGTTATGTATTTATGATTTTTTAAACCTAAATTTTTATCATGAAATAATTTAAAATTTTATCATGTACAATATAGTACATTAATTCTGAAAAGTTAATGTTGCATGTATTTTTGTTCATAACATATTTTATAAATTTTGGTATGAAATTTAACAGCTGTTGTTCTTTTAGCGTAGAGTAAATATAGGCATGTTGTATTTATATTGTATTGAGAATGGAATATACTTGTTACTACATAATACCAATAAACTGTGAATGTTGTGTTTCAGTCTGTAAAGAAAACTGGTCGACTCATAATTGCTCATGAAGCACCAATAACGAATGGATTTGGAGCTGAACTTGCTGCTGCTGTACAGGTATGAATAAGGATGTAATCTGGAGTACTGGTAGTGGCATTAATAATACTGTATAAGTAGAAAGCAGCAGTGTACATGAATGTGGGAAGACAATGGCATCAAGTGGTTTTGGGGACTGGATTTGCTACTGATGGTTGATGCTAGTGTGTGTGTGTGTGTGTGTTAAGTGATCGATAAACCAGATTTGGGGATGTATCATGTTTGATATTAGCCAGATACATTTATGCAACATCTAGCTGTATAATCCATCAGCCATACCAGTGGTATTTTAAGTACCATTAATTGTTGCAGATGTTGCCTTCTTGACCAATTTTTTATAATGAAAAATACCAAATTTAAGACTTGTCTGTGTACTGTATTTATGATACAATAATTACTTCATGTTATGATTATTTATTAAATATCATTTAATATTGAGTACTGTATAAAAAGCCTTCAAGAAAAGAGTTATTTTACTGTACAGTACTGATTTTTTTCTTTTTTCTGCAGAGTGAATGTTTCCTTCACCTAGAGGCACCAATAGAACGAGTGTGTGGTTTTGACACTCCTTTCCCACACATCTTTGAACCGTTTTACTTACCTGACAAGTGGCGCTGCTTTAGTGCTGTGAAGAAAATCCTTAAATATTAGGTAGAAAAGTACTGTATGTATTTTTTTTAATAGGTTATATTAAGTTCTAAATTGTATATTTATCTAAAATGAACTGTATAGTACTGTACAGGTATTTGTTCCTCAATTAAAAAAAATTGCTTTAATACTCTGATTGTTAATTTTTGAAATCAGATTGAACATATTGCAGTAGATTTTCTTCCAACTGTAAAGAAATGATTATTTGAATGTGGTCCAATATTTTTGTTTTCTAAGCTGCTTTAACCACCAATAAACTAAGGACCACAGTTATTGAGACTTTTGTCATGATTGAGTTAAAATTTCATGCTCTGTATTTACACACACACACATTCTGCAGTATTCAGTGAGATTCTAAATACAGTTTCAGAGCAGATGTCTTCTCTTATAATTATATTAAAATCATAAGTATACTTTGGTGATTTATACATGTTCAGGCAAGATGTTATGGATAAGATGAACACACCTACAGGTGAGAATTATTGGTACGTACTGTTAATAATTCATATCTCAAATTCTTAGCCATTTGGCATGTTCAGCGATTCTATTGGTACTGCCTTTTGCATTAGTAGGCTGCAAATGGATCCAAACAAGTAAAAAATAAGTTGAAATTGTATCCCATTACCTTCCTGAACAAGAATTGTCCTATTTATGGGTTCATCATCATCACCACCATTCTTTGGCAGTTTTACATCCTTACATGGATTAACCATGGTTACTTGATGGTAGGGTGGCAAATTTGAAACAAATTTATGGCTGGATGCCCTTCCAATTGCCAACCCACGTATACGATAGGAAATGGGTATCTGGAATTGATGCTTCATCTACATACTAGTCTGCTGTCTTGCCATGTTATAAACTCTTCTGTAATCCAAATAGAGCAAGGGTTAAGGTTACTCTCATTTGCTGAAGATGTGATGTCAAAACTCAGGGAGGATGGGAATACTGTATCGTGCATTTCTTGTAAAGGCCCATTAAAAGTTTTTGTGCCCGTTTCTTTTGGAGTTAGGATATTTTAACCATAATGCAAAACAACTTATTTTAACCATAATGCAAAACAACTTAGTGTGTTACTTGGCATATTATTTGAAATCTGATTATGTGATAAAAGTTACAGTAGACTTTCAGGTCACAATCCCTGTTAGGCATCATATAGCTGAGTTATGTATTGGACATGCTCATGAAAAAATTAACTTAAGATACCGTATATCACGGCCTATAAGGCGGCGGGGTGCATAAGACGCCCCCCCCAAATTTCCATTTAAAAAGTAGCTTTTGAGCTCTATTTGCTGTATAAGACCAGTACCCCAAATGTGACACTTACCCACTGACTCAGTAGTCCTTTACCAACCATCCTTGATTTTTTAAAATAAGGCCAATTCACTTCAAGTAATGTCATCAAATTATACCCGCTGGTGTAGTGTAAACACTAGTGACGTCACTGAAGCGTGTTGGGAGTGTTCCCTCGTCTCGGTGGTGTGACTATTTATACAACATGTGGTTCAACAGCAACCACCGTATTCTAATTGTGGTGTTTCATTAGGATTTGAGTGAAAAAGGTTACCAGTATGTACTTACTACATACATTTATTACACAAATATATATATATATATATATATATATATATATATATATATATATATATATATATATATATATATATATATATATATATATATATATATATATATATATATATATATATATATATATATATATATATATATATATATATATATATATACTGAATATACTATGTACAAAAAATGAATGTTCAATGAATTATTTATGGTGCATTAGGGTACTGGTCACTTCTGATGGGCTATAAATAGCCTTCTTTATCTCCCCTACATCTCACCCTGAGCCAGACGGAAGGGTCTTGGTAAATAACATGTTTGCTTATTTTCCATTTACTTTAAATAGATTTACCGAATTATTTGTTTTATTTATTTATTTATAATATACTGTAATATATTAAACACACTGTAATTATTTTCTTTAATTTATAAACTGTTTTGCGACAAAGGAATGTTCTCCAGTAGTGTTTCATTAGGATTTGAGTGAAAAAATATTACGTACTTACACAATTGTTCCTCTTACTTTGACAACACAACATACATACAGTATATTATTTCTCAGTTTTGATCTTTTTTTTTAATTTTTGTATTTATTTATAGTTAGTTACTTAAAATAAGGCCAATTCACTTCAAGTAATGGCATCAAATATTACCAGCTGGTGTAGTGTAAACACTAGTGACGTCACTTGAGCGTCTGTAATTAACCGTCGATAGTTTCAAGAATTAATGCACTCATTTACTGAATATTCTTTGGAAAAAAATAAAATTTAAATCAATTATTTATAGGAGATAAATATTATTATGAGTAAATATACCGATACCGGTATGCATTACTGACCACCTCCACGGCTCCTCACTGGCAAATGGGGGGGGGGGCGTGGGGAGGGGTGTGTGATGATAGCTGTGTTTATTATAGGGGTATAAATCTCTTTTACGGTATGTTAGACAGGTTTATAATACATTTTTATTATTTTAATATACCGGTAATCTTAATTTGAATCCAGCTTGCCAAACGTAAGTTTCAGTATAAAATAATTAGTGGTAAGACCTTGTGAGTGGCTTACGATGTTTTCATCACCACTCTTGACACACTAAACCACAATATTTAAGAGGTAAGAATTTTAAACTTGGTGGTTTAGACGACCCCCTAACTTTGGGCAGATTTTTTTAATGTTCAAATTTCGTCTTATAGGCCGTGATATACGGTAATTCTGATATAAATACAGTATGTTAATACTGTAGTTTGAAATGATATTTTTCATTTGTGTGTGTGATTATAGTTGTACACAAGAATGTTCAACACTTTTCAAGAATAGTTGTAAATAAAGCAGGATATAGACTGTCACCCAGTATTATATAGTTTAAGATCAGGGAATTTGTTATTTGGTTGAAATTTGTGTAGGTCTTCTGAACACTTATTTCCATTCTTGACTTACTTTGGGATCATCAGATTTTGACATGGTTAAATGTTTAAAAAAAACCAACTATGGATGTAAATGACCAGTATAGTAACACTTGTGTTTAGAAACACTTGATTTGACCTTTAATTCACAAAGAAAAAATGTGAAGAAACGAAAGATCATTTGTAAAACTCACGAATATTTGTTTGTAATATCAGACTCATCATCTAGTTGTACCTATAGTACAGTAGTGTTGAAGAAATTGCAACTTAAAAGCAATAATTTCTTAGGACCAAAGATTTTCAAACTATTCCATTCACATTGAGGCATCCATATTTTTCAGATTTAAGAATACCTGTACTGTACTTTTTTTATGCAATACCTGTACATCCTTTTTTAGTTTAAAATGTTTTCCCATAAATGATCAGGTTGTACAGTTCAGTACTTAATAAATGTTGGTTTAAAAATTCTTTACTTTGCTGTTGTAATTCATAAAATTGATGAATATATTTGTTTAAGGTTTGTGAATATCGATCTCAAACACATCAGTTATGGCCCTCGAGACTAATATACTGCTCATTAACCTACATTCATGCCTGTCCTTCATGTTCAATTAGTTTATTAGATATTGAAGTCTTGTACAGTAGTTAGGAGTTTAGTCTTAGGGAGGTAAAAAAGAATGTATAAACCTGTGTGTAAAAATTTATTAATGGTTTTGTATAGATGGTACAAATACAGTATAGATTTTTATAATTTTTTCTCTATTTGATGCCCTTGTAATTGGGTTGCTTACTGGAGTTAACTAAACTAGTTCTTTACTGCCAGGGGATTGGTCCATCTCCTCCACTCCATCAACTGGGGAACTTCTCTTAAGGAAGTCATGCAATAACAAACTCTAGTATGGAGGCACAACATCCTGAAGACTAATGGTTATAATCTAATCAGTGTTTGAGCTTGCAGAGCATCAATTATATTTGTTTTGAATTCGTGGATTGGCCATTGTATTTCTGACGTTTTACGGTGGTAAATGCGGTGTCAGCAGTTTTTTAAATCTGTCAAGGGGTTTAGAGGCTAGGCTGTTTAGTGATTGATGAGCTTCTTTAATATCAATATGACAACAATTTCAACATCTTCATGAGTCTGGTTGCAAGCTGACACTCATTAATTCCACTAGAGACAAAACCGTAGAATTGTCAGCTTTACTGACTCAAACACTTAAATTACAGGTATCCCTCGTGTAATGGTTGTAAAGCATTCCTGAAATACTAGTTTTAAGCAAAATGATTGCTAAATGAGGAATAATATCCATGGAGAAGGCTTGTATAATTGTGTAGCCAAGACATTGACTCGCCACCTAGTCGCACTCAGAGCGGGTGAGGCTGAGCTGTTAGCTATGTTACTGTTCAACTCGTAATTTTGGGTAGATATACGTAATTTTCTTCCTTTTTTTTTTACTGTTAAATGCACACACTTCTGTTCATATGGTAGACTGCAAAAAAAAAAAAAAAAAATATATATATATATATATATATATATATATATATATATATATATATATATATATATATATATATATATATATATACATATATATACACACAGAGAGAGAGAGAGTGGTCCCTCGGTTAACGAAATTTCGGTTAACGAACTGCCTCCCATAAGATTCTTAAATTCAGTTAACGAACAAAAATTCGGTTAACGAATTTCTTACGAACCGACCTCAACATGTTTTCGCTTGCACTGGCTGGTCAACCAGCTTTAGTATTAGTCCGCCAATACATTAATCGATTCTAGGGCTTAAATTCCTTACTATTTAAGTAAATATCAAGAAGTTTATACTATTCAATAATTTTAAAAGTTTAATATTCAATTTTTTAGTCATTTTAACAATTATTTAACATAATTGAAGGTAAAGTGATTAGTTTAATGTGCAGCATCCAGCCTCTTAACACAGCAAATGCATTAGTCTCTCTCTGTTTTCACTGGAGGTAACATCTTGCTTGAGACTCTCTACAACTAAACGCTTTTTTTCTGTGTTTCCAAGCAAATTATTGGTCATTTTGAAATATATTTTACATATTGACAATATATAATGCAGTGCAGTGTTGATTTAAAGAAAATAATCTTGAAATACACCAAGAGAGCTAAAATTTTATGGGTGAAATGGTGCCATGGGGTGACTTCTCTTCCACCCCAATGCCTTCTCTTCCTTCTCCTCCACCCCCATTCTAATTCCCATCATCATCATCATCATCCAGGAGCCTTCTACATACACACCTCAAAGTAAGTGAACTTTTCTACCATTTTTGTTGAATTTAGGCAATTTTCGGGGAGCTGGAACCAATTACCCAAAAACCCATTGAAACAATGGTTTCGATTAACGAATTTTTCGGTTAACGAACAACCTGCTGGAATGGATTGTGCTCGTTAACCGAGGGGCCACTGTATATGTATATACAGTATATATATATTTTATTTATTTATTTATTTATTTTTAAGTAAAAACAAAAAGGTAATAAAAACAATTTACATGCTTGGCAGTTAACTCTCAGAGTCGGGGTGTGGGTTCAGCATGGGAGATCTCTCAGCTGTTCTGTCTCGTGTCACATGAAATGATTGACCAAAAGAATAACACAGTATTTTTCTTTTATTTTATATATTTTAATTTTTATTTGTGGTAAATATTTGTTTAAGGGATGTGGCCCCTTTTTGTTATGAGATTAAGTTTTTGGTGTGTTTTACTCAAATCTGACCTTCATTTTGGGGCAAATGAGCAAATTTATTTTTTTTACTTTCACTCATTTGTACACCAAATAAAATACACCCAAATACATAAAAAAAACCTATTTCTCATAAGAATTTCAACTTATAAATCATTGTTGAAACCTAACCAAGCTTAACCTAACCTTACTCATATCTCTGTTAATACTAATTTTCCCAAAGAAATATACTACGGGCATTCATATATTTTTTTAATAATCCTAGAATAACCAAATACGAAAATCTTGCCGCAGCTTTTAAACGAATGTTAACCTTATGTTACGAACCCCCTTTCACCGCTTACCAGTTTCCACTGCTGGCTACCAGCGGTCAGGTCATACATACAAAAGCAGTAGATATTATCACAATTGTCGTTGAATTACCACTGGCTATCCAGCCAGTCTCCGGTAATTTCCCGACGATTGGTATCAGTGTAGATACAAACAAAAGGCAGGTAGATTTCTACCAGGTCACAGAAACACACTTGTGAACTGTAGTCTCATTTAATAATCACTAGATCTTCACGAAATTGTTCACAGGGTTTATCTTCACAACTGCACTGTTTATTGACTTTACTGTGAACGGCTTGTATGTGGTTTCTCCAGTTTCTCATGAACAATAACTCCGAGGAATTTAGTATTTTGTTCACGTTTGAGGACTGTATTACCAAGGTACAGGGGGTCCAAGTCTGGGGGTGAGTTTTTCCTTCTGTGAAAGATCGTGTACTGGGTTTTCTCAAGGTTTAAGGTCAGTTTATTACGTATTACCCAGCTCCTGACTTTAGTTAATTCAGTGTTCATAGTTCTCATCAAGGAATGGAGGTCTGAGTTGCTGGCATAGAGATTACTATCGTCTGCAATAAGTTGTATTTTATGTGTGAGCTGGCGTGGTCTATGTCGTTTATGTACAACAAAAACAATACTGGACCGAGAATGGAACCTTGGGGGACTCCATACAAGATTGGCGAGGAGTCAGATTGGTGATTATTATAGCAGACATACTGCATCCTGTTGGACAGATATGAGGTGAACCAATTGTGGGACAGGCCCCTAACGCTGTAATGTTCAAGTTTTGAGAAGAGGATGGTATGGTCGACAGTATCGAAGGCTTTAGAATATACCGACTGTGAACTGTCATCAAAGGAATTTAAGATGTCATTAGTAAAGGATAGCAGAGCACTCTCAGTCGACCTTCCAGCTCTAAATCCAAACTGGGAGTCTGTAAAGATGTTATTGGCATTGCAGAAGGAATTTAGTCTATTACATGCTAGCTTTTCCAGTATCTTACTCAGGGCTGGGAGGACGGGTCCGATTAATTACCCAAATGTACCCAAATGTAGCCGCAATGAAGTCAAATAATGGTCCTACATGAATAAATCGAATTACTAATCACTTCTCAACTAGTATTTGGTGTCACAAAGTAAAAAAAAATTGGAAAAAGTAATTTAATTTGAGTTAATAGATCGCGTGTATGTACCGAGGGAGCGAGTAATTACCCAAATGTAACAGCTGTTAATGCTCACTCCCTGTTTTCTGTCCAGTAACCACGCCCTAATCCATTTTAGAATATCACCTTTAATGCCATGCGCCTCCACTTTTCTAGTCTTTCGTGGGGGTTCTGTCGAAGGCTTTGCTAAAGTCGAGATATACCACATCATAATTGTGCCCCTCGTCCACTGATTCGAAAACTGATGAAAAGAATGTTAATAGATTAGGTAGACATGAACGCCCGCTTGTGAAGCCATGCTGGGAATCATTGATCAACTTGTGCTAATCATCTATCCTACATCTAACGCCAAGGCTTTCAAAGCATTTTTAACCTTGGGCCAATGACAAATAAATTTGTGTAACATATTATCAGTTTTGTAGTGACCATCACTAAGGTTTATAAAATTTAATTCCCTAATCAAACTAGCTTCAACCAGAAGGCTTTCTGTGATACATGATGATTTGTACACGTCTAAGCTGTTTTTCCAATCCATGGAATTATTATTATTCCTAGCATGAACGAATAGTGCACTGCTTTCCCAGTCTGTCCTACATAATTTCCACTACAGTTGATATATATATATATATATATATATATATATATATATATATATATATATATATATATATATATATATATATATATATATATATATATATATATTGCTCAGTGATAAGATGTGGGTGACCCGGCGAGAATGACAGCCAGCAAACCACCCCATCACCTTGTTGCCCCGGAAAACTCCCACAACTCCTTCCACTACTACATCTGCTGGGCTTCCCCACCCAACTCATCTGGGCCAACTACCACATCTCTGCACCCTTTCAGTGACTCAGTCTACGACCGCTTCTCATTGTGATAGCATTACGCCGAGCTGCTCACTAGTTGTTCACTGTTATTGTTGCTTATACTGTGTACACTACCTCGTTTCTGAACAATCTGTGTGCTACAGCCAGTGTATCTTCTTGTTTGTGAACAGATCCAGTAAGTGACAACATTATGTTTACTTTCACTCCTTATTCTGGGCATTGATATTCTGCATTACTTTTTATAATAAAGTATCAGGACTTTTCTTACAAATAATTTAGAGCTAGCGGTGAAAAAACTATCATATAACTTATACTTTACGCCGAAATTAATAGTTGTTCACGCCATTATGTTTACCGTCTTGATAAGAGAGAGGAGTTTGAAACACTGCTGGAGAAGACGTGACGTGCCACCCTTTCTTGGAACTCCCGCTTAAGTCATGAAGAATTCCTATTTCGTAGGCGTTAATAACCCCAGAACCTCCCACATTAATATATTCAAAGAAACTTGATACGATTGATAACGTTTAGAATGATTGTTTGATTCTAGAAAGTTGAACTGTTCATAATCATGCCACTGATCATGTGAGCTGGCGCTTTATGTATCAGACACAAACTTTATACAAACACAGGTACAATAATATTCTCTATTGGTTACCGCATCTTGAATGTTACCTTAAGATAGGTATGACAAATTGTATTTAAAAACTAATTTACCTTGTCATATACACATAGTTACAAATATTATACCTAAGACGCTGTCTCAAACTAAACAGACATGGACACAACCATGTACAGTACTGTTACGCTGTGATTCCTGTGAGCGTTATGACGAAACATCTTGCGATGTCTTCCGGGATGACTCGCCGCTTTATGTCACTGTCCATGTCTGTCTAGCTTGAGTCAGCGTCTCTGTGATAGAGTAATCATAGGTAGAATATTTGTAACTATGTGTTAAGATAAGACAACATATGTAATTATATATATATATATATATATATATATATATATATATATATATATATATATATATATATATATATATATATATATATGTGTGTGTGTGTGTGTGTGTGTGTGTGTGTGTGTGTGTATGTATTGATGTTGAAATCACACAGGGAAAAGGAAACAACGGAGCACCTTAGCTTTCGTCTTTATTCAAGACATCTTCAGAGGCAATAGGGACGAAAGCTGGAGTTATCCATATTCCCTCCCCCCGTGTGATTTTTATCAAGATTTATCGTATCATTTTCGTTGTGGATCTACATAAGAAATATATATATATATATATATATATATATATATATATATATATATATATATATATATATATATATATATATATATATATATATATGCAGATCACAATGGCAATGGATAGATAAATATCTTGATAAAATGAACATCTTCAGGGCAAGACCAAAATAATATTGCTCCGTTGTTTCCCTTTCCCCGTGTGATTTTATCAAGATATATATATATATATAAATATATATATATATATATATATATATATATATATATATATATATATATATATATATATATATATGCAAGTAACTCACTGTAGGTGCGCGTGATCCAGGTATATGCTGATAACCACAAGGAAAAAGAAAACACGGAGGGTGAGATCAGGTCCGCAATGGTCAGGTATTAGGTAATGACCCTACTAATCTTTAAAAAGCACCGCAACGGTCGGTAGTCAGGTCAGAGGGTAAGGTGACCCAACCTCACCTGGTTACAAATCTTAATTACAAAATTGTCCAGTGATTTACTTGCATGATGGTTTCCACGCGCCACAGCTTTGACAGTTTATTTATTATAACCTCATCCAAGAACATAATGTGGATCAGCTCTGTGTCAAACCATCTTTCCCCAAACGCAGGACGATTGTTCGTATCCTCTCTTGTAAACACAGATGAAAAAAAATTGTTCAACGCCTTCCCTTTATCATAGTCAGAATCTTCATAACTACCATCTTCAAGCCTCAGGTCCGATATGCCTACTCGCGTTTTTAATTTCGACTTTGCGAGCGGTAAAATGCCTTGGAGTTTGACTTGACCTCACTAGCAATCTGCCTCTGGAACTCTTTTTCAGTCCTTCTACACTCTGACTTAGCTTGGTTCCTGGATCTGGCATACATCCTCCTGTCCTGCTCATCATTTGTCCTAACACACGTCTCGAAATCCTGAGTTTTCTTCTAAACTTTGCCGACCGCCGCATGGTTCATGTGTAGCAGTTAAGAAAGAGTGCCAATAACTGAAAAACATTTCTTAGTTCGAAATATTTATGTAATGTGTTTATTAAAAATTATAACAATCGAAAACTAATCTTTGCCTTCCCAGCTTATTATCCCTTAAGATTAAATACCCTAATACTACCTGGGGTTTAGGTTAGGTTAGATAGAGTATAGAATGTTATGTTAGATTAGGATGGTTAATCTAAGTTGAAATAAACTGGGGCTAATCTTCAGGTGACCCGTATGCTGTAGCATAGGATAGATTTATCATAGTATTGGGTATATAGCCCATACTGGGCAGTCCCGTTTACACCCAACCCCTATTGCTAATGCTCATATGAGCATCCACCCTATGGTTGAAGCAATTCAGCGTATTCGAGTTAATGATGATATTTGGTAACTTGTTCCATTCATCCACTACTCTGTTTCCAAACCAATGTTTACCTATTTCGCGCCTAAATCTAAATTTGTCTAATTTAAAACCAATGTTACGAGTTCGCTCCTGGTTGGATAGTTTAAGTACCTTTGTAATGTCCCCTTTGTTTAGCCCTGACTTCCATTTATACACCTCTATCAGGTCGCCCCTCGCTCTACGCCTCTCAAGGGAGTGCAAATTAAGATGCTTTAACCTGTCTCTATACTTAAGGTTTCTAATGCCCGGGATTAGTCTTGTCATTCTCCTCTGAATTCTTTCCAATGATTCTATATCCATTTTGTAATACGGTGACCAGAACTGAACTGCGTAATCCAGGTGTGGTCTCACAAGAGCAAGATACAGTTTTAGGATGACCTCGCTAGTCTTGTAACTAACACTCCTTTGTATGAACCCAAGTACTCTATTAGCCTTGTTACGAGCAAAAACACATTGTTTACTTGGCTTAAGGTTCCCACTTATCATTACTCCTAAATCTCTCTCGCAGTCGGATTTCTCTATGGCATCGTTGTTCATTTGGTATCTGGTTTCCCTGTTTACATCTCCTATACTGAGTACTTTACATTGTCGACGTTGAATTTCATCTGGTAGGTATGTGTTAGTTTTTGACAATGTAGTAGTAATTGCTGCCATATGGCATCACAAAAATTGTGACCAAGTCCCAGGATGCTGATCTAACTGACTTTCTGCTTCATTTATACACAATTGCAGGTCTCAATTGTTTCTCTTACTACTGACATCACAACATACTGTACATTACTTCCCTCAGCCTTCATAGGGTAAGGACGTGTGTAGTCGGCGCTGCCCAATAACGCGGCCTTGGTCTCTTGACCATGGAGACAGCTGCCAGCCTGGTCTGTCGGGCCCTCCCCTGCCCCATCTCCTCCTTCCCATCTGTATTTATCAACATCCTCACACCAACAGTACAGTGCAAAGATTGACGATCAACCCACAAGTAATATACAAAAGTGGCAATTTTAACTCGAATGAATAACACAGCAATACTGAGTGGGGCTGGATCTGACCTAATCTGAAGGATGGAGCACACCTGCACACCCCAAGCTACTATTCTGCCCAACCGCATCCAGCCCAAACGAGCACAAACTGCTACAAGAACAGCCCAGTCCCAACCATTGTAAAAATTATCAACACCTAATTATTATATATCATATTTGTATCACTTATGTTACCTGTATATTATTTGTAAATCAAGAGACCCCAATTATGTAATTGTATATTTTCAACCTTCCGGCTGCCATGCTCTTCCAATAAACCGTTAATTATTCTTATTATTATAATACTGTATATTGTTTCTCACTCTTTTTTTAATTTTTGTATTTATGGTTCTTTATTATTATTATTTAATTTTTATTTTGATGACAATTTTTGTTTATTTTTAATAATAATAATTATTATTATATTTTTGCCCCCAGGCCCCGATGTGGGTCAATGACCTGTGTCCGGGTGGACTAATTCCTGTAAAAATAAAAAAGCATTTGGTGGTATATGGAAGAATGTGTTATAAATACTTGAATCTTATCAAGGAGTGTACAGTAAGCGTCACATTTCGTTAACGTTATCTCGCCAAACATCCGTTCCCTTGGCTTTCTTACAACAAGGGTTTATGTCGTGTGGTTGGTTGAGAAGGCTCATTTTTCTGCGTTACTTGGCGGATAATGACGTTTTCTGGTGTCTTAATTGGGAATTTCGTAAGGTGATGGGCTAGGCTTCTTAGATTATACCATGAACGTGTGGCACTCGCCCGGACGGTCCTCTCATGCTGGATCTTGCATTCCCAGTTTATGGACTATATATATACAGTATATATATATATATATATATATATATATATATATATATATATATATATATATATATATATATATATATATATATATATATATATAGATTTTAATTCCTAGTGATGGTCAGTTCAAAACTGATATGTTACATAAACTTATTTGTCAGTGGCCCAAGGTTAAAAATGCTCTGAAAACCTTTGATCTAGATGTAGGATAGTTATTTAGTGGGTCCCTTATTTTTGACCTGACTAGTCACGTCACCCCTTCTCTTAAGCTCCTCTACGTGTGTGTTGGTGTGGGGATTAGTGGATGACATCATTGTGACCTGACCTCATGTTTAATAAGGTCACCCTGTATATTTAAGCCTCTCTGTCCATGTAATCCAGTTGCCTCTGAAGATGTCTTGAATAAAGACGAAAGCTAAGGTGTTTCCCTTTTCCCGTGAACAGTTGTTTTATCCTGAAGGTATATGACGGGCGAAGAATTTTGTTATAGTTACGGTCTAGGTCTGATCGTCATGATACGTTGTCGAAGTCGACCATTAACTTATTGGGTGTAAACGTGGAATCCAGGGAAAAAAAGTCACATTTCCTTTAAACACCAAAGATATTGTAAGAGAATCTGAATCATCTTACAAGAGATCACAGTTTTATATCAAAACTGATATCATTGATGTCAATATCTGAAAACCGAACCTAACCTAACCTTGTATTGTCAGTTAATAAGCGACTTAAAATACTATTTCCTAGCCAAAATTTCTGACTTTTTTCCTGTGACTTTAATTACCGTTCACCGTAAACGCGAGTTACTGAAGTCAGATGGGACGCTTATTCGTACTACACTTTATACCTAATTCTATACTATTGCTGATACATGTCTGAATTAACTCTGTATTCTGAACACTAGATCAGTGAAGTGACCTTCACTGGGAGAGGGAGATAATGAAGATAGCCAAGTAGCACAACACACTTGACGTCTCCAGTCAGTGCTGGTGCCTGGCCCTTCGGCACCTCAGTTATCCAGAGAGATTAGAACGCCTGTAACTGCCTAGCTTATACTACAGACGGGTAAGGGGCGACCTAATCGAAGTGTATAAACATCTCATAGGGCACTCCTCGGTCGAGTACATGCCTGCTGGAGCTAGCGGACGTCCGCCCCACAAGGGGTCACAACTCAAGGTTGAAGAAGCCACAAGTCAATAAAACAGTGAGGGCAAACTTTTTTGGAGTGAGAGTTGTGAACTCTTGGAACATTCTGCCAGAGAGTGTTGTGACGGCACCGAGTGTGGGCTCTTTCAAGACCAGACTTGACCAACACTGGAGCAGGTTCAGATATATTCAGGAGCCAGCGCATGCCCAGTACTTGCCAACAGTGCGTACCAGAGACGTGACCGATCGCCCAAGCGGCTAACGAGCCGATCAGTGGTGAAGGGGATTAAAGTAAATTATTGCTTTCTGTCAGCATAATTTTATATGCCTGTTTTATATTAATTTTGTAATCTATAAAGATGTTGATTTTTGTTATCAACTTACACATTCCTCATTTTTTCACTTACATTCAGTATAACAATAAACAGTATAAATGTACTGTGCATATTGCTTTGGACATAAAGACCTCAGAAATATGAAATTAAAGAGTTTTATCCATAAAATGTGGGAAAACCCTTCAGCTTCTGTGGGTTCAAGGTGGCCACCAGTCAAGTTTTTAAACCTTTACTGGTGTCAGTCACTTGATATACTTTTTATAATAACTTATTACATGCACGTGCAAATTTTTCGAGAAGGATTTCCAGTTAAAATGAATATATTATTGTATGCTTACCCACTTTTGTCATAAAAAATTACGTAATAATGATATAGCTATGTATGATTTAATGTTTGTTACACTATTTTCATTTTTTCCAGATGTGTGTCTGCCGCCAGACGCTAGTGTTCCTGTGTTAACTAGATCTTACAATGAACCTGAGATACTGTACCTGGAAGAGGCTTGAGGTGGTGACGACAGTGATCCTAGTCACAATATGGGGAGTCTCCTCTAATTTTACCCAGTCACTTACTGACTCACAGGTGACAGAGTCACCCCTGACAAATTTTACTCTTAAGAAATGTCAGTGTGACATTAATCATGTGCTGGATGAGTCTACCTGTATAGAAAGGAAGACAGTTGTAATTTTGTGGACCACCACAAATAATGAACTATTATATTTTAACACCAGTATGTTTGAGAACAAAGAGGTGGCAGAGCCACAATGTCCTGGTGGCCTGCCACGTGTTGTTATCGATGATCGTACCTTCAATTTTGTTTTGCTGCCATCTGGAGAACTTGCATGGACATTGGACGATGGACATACACAATTCTTCCTGGATTATTGTATCGAACATCATGTGCACGTTGGGGGTCAAGTGGGTTGGGAAGCTCACGTGTGTTTGCCTCCTCCTCCAGTGCCTCGATGCTGCCCTCCAGGATATGCTTTGGCTCATGACGACTCCTGTGTTGCCTACAGTGGCAACTTTGCACCACCCATAGACTTTAATAACATGCCTGTGCAATGGTCAGCTGCTGAGGGGGATGTTCAAAATGTTACCTGTCATGGAATGTCAGTTGTTCGCCATCTTAACTTGAACACTCGAGAGGGAATTCTTGCCTATAACTCAGAGAGGGCAATATTAGAATGGAAGTCATCTACGAAACCCACAACTTATAATAGGGAATATGAGTACTGTGTGGGCATGAATAATGTTGAACAATATGTAGCTAAATTCTGCTATCTGGACCCCTCTCTGGAACACCAGGTTAAGTGCAACAACAGCAATTGTGTACGGAAATGTTGTCCACAAGGTCAGTTGCTTTTGGGTATGACGTGTGTTAATTCCTACTCAGAGGAAGAGATTTGGCAGCCAACAATCCCTGCTAGTCAAAATAACACTTTAGTTTTGGCACCTGCTGAAAATTGGACAGTAGTTGCTGGATTTCCATTTTGTGAAAGTTTCTTTGATTTTGAATCTGATGTGAAAAGTTACGATGAGTTCTACCTATTGCCAAATGGTTCACTTCATATTTCTCTTTATAAAGATAGCTACCCACCAACTAACTACTGCCTTGATCTTTACCTGGAACCAGGTTTGAACTACACCCTTCTCCATAAGGCTATTCTTTGTATTATTGATCCTCCCTGCGGTTGGAAGACTCTTCTTAATACAGTGTTGCTTGGAATTTCTTGCTTGTTTTTGGTGGCTACCCTTGGTGTGTACCTAGGTGTGGCAGAGATAAGGGATCGCACCTATGGTCGATGCCTTATATCAATGGTTACTGCCATGTTGGCCTCATTCCTCACCATCATTATCAATAATCAAGATCAGGCATCCTCCGACGCTGAGTGCATCACCCTAGGTAAGATATACTGTATATCACCCCTTGATGTTTAATAAAGGTCATCCTTAAATCCTTATGTTTATATGGTTAATATTCGGAAGTGACCATGCACGGAATTCTATATTGATTTTCATATGGGGAGTTAGAGACAAATACTAAGAATACTTTAGTCTACAGAGTTTTCGTCGAAAATTTATAGTATGCGAATTAATTTGACTTCTATTTCACTTAGGAAAGTTCAAGTTAGTGTGGATATAAATTGTTTATTCTTTACTCCAGCAATCAGCAGAATTGTCGATGCCACATGATATTCGTGTAACGTGTTACTCCTTTTTTTCAATTTCAGGTGTGGTTCGTTAGGTTCCCTTTGTATTTTGTTTTGTCTTGTTGGGTCAGGTTAGATTTATAGCCTGGGTGTCTGCCACCCTGGATAGAAAATTAGGTCAGGTCCTTCTGGTTAGGTTAAATACTGATATTTGAGTCATTAGGCTAAATTCTTGATGATCTCTTTGTTTGATGTGTTTTTATCACAATTTCCCTCTTATTCAAAGCCCTGCCCAATTTATGTGATCAAAATTTGCATGTTTTAAAGTGAAATAAAATAAAAAAATATAAATTTCCGATGAAAACGCTACAAAGTATTTTACTTTTGTACTATCTCGCTCTACCTATACCTATATAAAAATTAATTTTATGCTTTAATGGTAATTGTTGTGATTTAAAAATACAGTAGTATATGACCCTTATTTTCATGGACACAAGAAGGGGGTGCTGAGGGTGCTGCAGCATCCTTATATTTTTGGTGTAAGGTGCTACTGTATACATATTGTACTGTACATTGCACTACATAATATCTAGGCCACCAGAATTAACATTCAGCACCCCTGGTAAATTTGGTTCCCACAGTTCTATTTATTTTCGATGTTCATGTGCAGTATATTTAAGAAGATACAACAATGATTTAGTATTGGTGGTAATGCCTATCTCACGAATATGTGAAGGGTTTGAATCAAGGAAAATATATAGGAGGAAGCCCGCCTAATCACTAGATAGCACTGATTAATTGGTGGGAAAAGTTGTGACGGCTGTTTGTTTTGACTTGCACCATTCACCGATGTTTCCTTGGTTTGAGTCTTGCTTGGCTCGGACACACGTGAGAAGGGTTGTTATCCAGTGTGACCCTACCAAATATCACAGGTTTCTTCCAGGCATTCTGGATAGACCAACCAACTTAATGACTATACTGTAATAGTAAGCTGATGAGTGGGTAGGTCATTGAGGGTGAGGGAAAATGTGGGATAAAAAAAATAAATCCTGACCTAACTTTTCCTAATGTGCAAAAGACTTAATACTATAAAAACTTGGGTATTATTTTACTTTCGGAGAGAGCGCCCGAAAGTTCTAAACTACTATAACATTTAGATCTCCCTATTCTGAGCATTTTGTACACCATATATTCCAGGCAGAAATGGATAATAGCGACACGATTGAATTTAATTGATTTTACGTAGTTTTCAGTCTTCGTCTGTGAGATGATGTTATCGGCTCATCACCCATGCACAATATTGACTGATGTCATGCAGTCGTGCCCTAAGACTACTGTATAATAAGAATGACGAGAAAGCGTATACCAATAAAAAAAAGTAAGCCAGAGCTCCGATCAACGCCATCTGTTGGCAACGCGGCTAACTAAAAGCCCGGGGCATGAGAGGGCAGCGTTTCCATATTTCCATGGTAACCAGCGGAGTGAGCTTTTTACTTTTTTATCCTCTTCGCCACTCATCGGCTCGTTAGCCGCTTGGGCGATCGGTCACGTCTCTGATTACTTTTCCTTTTCATTCATCCTCTTCACCAAAAGATCGGCTCGCTAGCCGCCCGGACGATCGGTCACTTTATTTACTTTTTTTTTTAACTTTTATCCTCTTCGCCACTGATCGACTCGCTAGCCACCTGGGCGATCGGTCATGTCTCTGTCACGCACTGTTGGCAAATACTGGGCATGCACCGGCTCCTGAATGTACCTGAACCCGCTCCAGTGTTGGTCAAGTCTTGTCTTGAAAGAGCTCACACTCGGTGCTGTCACAACACTCTCTGGTAGATTGTTCCAAGAGTTTACAACCCTCACTCCGAAAAAAGTTGCCCTCACGGTTTTCTGGACTTGCGGCTTCTTCAATCTTGAGCTGTGACCCCTTGTGGGGCGGACGTCCGCCAGCTCCAAGTAAGGACACTCAACTGAGTAGTGCCCCCTGAGATGCTTATACACCTCAATTAGGTCCCCCCTTGCCCGTCTGTAGTATAAGCTAGGCAAGTTCAGGCGCTCCAATCTCTCAGGGTATCTGAGGTGCCGAAGTGCAGGCACCAGTCTGGTGGCCCTCCTTTGAACATTTTCAACCAACTGACAGTCCCTAGCATATCTCGGGGACCAGATGGGGTGACAGTACTCCAGAATGGGAAGCACTTCACTCCTGAAGATCGTTACGAGGGACGGACCGTCTAGATATATGAACGACCTTCTTATAAGACCCAATAATTTATTTGCCTGATTTCTTTCTCTCAAATGGCCCGAGAACTTCAGCTCATTGTCAACATACACACCTAGGTCCTTCTCACACACAGTCTCAACTAGTGCAGTTTCTTCATCCCGTTGGGACATATGATACGCCTCCTTACCGTTGGTACGCCCCAGGTGCATCCTCTTACACTTCGTGACATTGAATCTCAGCAGCCATTTCTTCGACCATTCCTGGAGCCCACAGAGGTCCTTCTGCAGCTCTTCACAGTCCGCTTGATTCTTAATTTCCCGAAATAACTTGGCATCATCGGCAAACATTTGTATGGAGGAGTGTACGACGTCAGGCATGTCATTTATGAAACAAACAAACATCAGCGGGCCCAAAACACTGCCCTGTGGTACCCCACTTGTGACAGGTACAGATGAAGATTTCGTACCATTAATCACCACACACTGCTTGCGGTCATGTAGAAAGTCTTCTATCCACGCTAGGACATTTCCCCGAATTCCGTACCCTTCCAGTTTGATTTTCAGCCTTTCGTGGGGTACACTGTCGAAAGCCTTGGCAAAATCTAGGTAAATATTGTCGATATTACCACCCTGTTCCAGAATATGGATCCAAATATCCAATACCTTAAGCAATTGTGTTAAGCAGGAGCGCCCCGGCATAAAACCGTGTTGGCAATCTTTTACAAGGTTGTTTCGTATTAGATGTTCCATTGCGGCATCTCTGATAATACTCTCAAGTACTTTACATATTATGCTGGTCAGGCTCACCGGTCTATAGTTGTTCGTGGAGTTGTAGTGGATTTCTCCCCTACAAACTCTGTTTGTCGCTGAGTAGCCGACCCCACGAATTCCCCACTGTATGACTCGTGGTCTAGGTCAACCAGCGCCGCCCACGGAGCGGGGGTCAACTATTAAGCCACGCTTACCCCCGCTATTTAAGACCTGACCTCGTGGTGACCTACCTCTTTCTACCGACACCAACCAGCCAGCAACACCTCCTCCTCTGCCTGCCTGCCTGGCGGTCCTCGCTCCCGCCGGCGAGCATGGCGACCCACAAGCTGTCCTCCTCTGAGCACCCTCACCAACCAGCTCTCTCTACATCACGCTTGTAACCATGCTGCCTTCCCAGCACCAAGCTGCATTGTACATCCAATACAACATGTATATAGAGAGCACATTGTGAGTTTCCTTTCTCCATCCCATCCTGAGTGTGAACACAAACATCCCATACTCCACAGAGTGACGATCGCCCTTCTTGAAGATAGGACTCACATAAGCCACTTTCCATTCACTGGGGACCATTTGTTTATCCAGGCATTTACAAAACAGGATCTTCAGGGACTCTGCAAGCTCATTGCACAGCTCTCTTAGCACTCTAGGATGCACCATGTCAGGTCCGGGACTCTTATGGACCTTTAGCCTGGACAGTTTATTTGTAATACCCTCTTCCGTGAACACAATGTGGGTCACGTCTCTGTTACGCACTGTTGGCAAATACTGGGCATGCACCGGCTCCTGCATGTACCTGAACCCGTTCCAGTGTTGGTCAAGTCTTGTCTTGAAAGAGCTCGCACTCGGTGCCGTCACAACACTCTCTGGTAGATTGTTCCAAGAGTTTACAACCCTCACTCCGTGTTAACGTTGTCACGTTGCTAAATATCATTGATCATATAGAATTTACTGTGTGATATTGTATATGTGTGTGTGTGCATGTGTACACTTTAAGAAAGTCAAGGCAAAGACGATTTTTTTTCGACCGATCACATTTGAATTTTTTCAAAGGAAGCAGCCTGGGTACAAATTTTAATTTCAGTGACCAGTCTGACATTGGCCGTGGTGGAGGTTGGTTGACATTGTTGCTCCTATGATTATTTTAAGTTTCTTGCCGAGTTTTACGAGAAAGACGATCATTCTATTCACTTCTAACTAAGGTATTGTACTTTCGGACATGGCGCGCCCCAAAGTTTTAAACTACTGAAACATTTAGGTTTGGTTAGGGTAGTTTAAGCTAGGCCTGTGGGGTTTTTGAGATGTTTGTGTTCACACTCAGGATGGGTTGGAGAAAGGAAACTCACAATGTGCTCTCTGTATACATGTTGTATTGGATGTACAATGCAGCTTGGTGCTGGGAAGGCAGCATGGTTACAAGTGTGATGTAGAGAGAGCTGGTTGATGAGGGTGCTCAGAGGAGGACAGCTTGTGGGTCGCCATGCTCGCCGGTGGGAGCGAGGGCCGCCAGGCAGCGGCGGAGGAGGTGGTGTAGCTTGCTGCGGCTGTAGCTAGAAGAAGAGAGAGCTGGTTGGTGAGGATGCTCAGAGGAGGACCAGCTTGTGGGTCGCCATGCTCTTTGGTGGGAGCGAGGACCGCCAGGCAGGCGGAGGAGGAGGAGGTGTTGCTTGCTGGTTGGTGGAGGTAAAAAGAGAGATATCACCACGAGGTCAGGTCTTAAATAGCGGGTGTTGGCGTGGCTTAGTAGTTGACCCCCGCTCCATGGGCGGAGCTGGTTGACCCAGACCACGAGGCATACACTGGGGAATTCGTGGGGTCGGCTACGCAGCGACAAACAGCGTTTGTAGGGGAGAAATCCACTACAATACTCCCTCCTTCCCTCCAGGCGGTGTAGGAGACTTGTTGTCTGCAGGGTTGCATAGCACATGTGAGGCAGAACGGGCAGTGCATGCCTCATGTGAGACAACAGCGATGGCGTGGATGAGCCGGTCGCTAGAGACAACTGTCTAGATACACAATATCTGTGGGAGTAAAGAGGGCGAAAAAGGGTGTGTGGAGGCGATGAATGTTGTGCTTCCTTCACGGCAGGTACAGAGTCGCCAGATGCGCCTGCTGGGGTGTGTGGGTCTGGGTCAGGAACAAGGGCTGTGTCAGCAGAAGCGGAAGAGGGCTCGTGACAGCAGCTGGGTCCACGACAGCAGCAGGGTGCAGGACATTAGCAGGGAGTACCTGAGGGAGAAAAGAGGGGTGTGTGGGTCCGCACTCAGGAGCAGGGGCCGCGTCAGGAGAAGCGGCAGGGGGTACTGCTGGGCCGGGGCGGCGTCTGAGGCAGGACGGGCGGTGCATGTGCTTCCCTCACGGCAGGTACAGAGTCGTCAGATGCGCCTGCTGGGGTGTGTGGGCCTGGGTCAGGAGCAGGGGCTGCGTCAGCAGAAGCGGATGAGGGCCTGTGACAGCAGCTGGGTCCATGACAGCAGCTGGGTCCACGACAGCAGCAGGGTGCAGGACAGTAGCAGGGAGTACTGCTGGGCCGGGGGCGGCGTCTGAGGCAGGACTGGTGTGCTGGGGTCGGTAGGACGTGGTGCTTGGGGCAGGGAAGGCAGCATGGTTACAAGCGTGGTGTAGAGAGAGCTGGTTGGTGAGGGTGCTCAGAGGAGGACAGCTTGTGGGTCGCCATGCTCGCCGGCGGGAGCGAGGACCGCCAGGCAGGCAGAGGAGGAGGTGTTGCTGGCTGGTTGGTGTCGGTAGAAAGAGGTAGGTCACCACGAGGTCAGGTCTTAAATAGCGGAGGTAGGCGTGGCTTAGTAGTTGACCCCCGCTCCGTGGGCGGCGCTGGTTGACCCTGACCACGAGGCATACACTGGGGAATTCGTGGGGTCGGTTACGCAGCGACAAACAGCGTTTGTAGGGGAGAAATCCACTACAGGCCTACCGGGGCTCTGGAGGCGGAGCCCCCGGCTCGGGGTTAGGTTAGATGACTTGTTTTCTCCCCCACCCAATAACCCCGATTTCCCAGGCTCTCCCCCATTATTATTGGAGGGGGCTAAAAACGAGCAATTTCCGCCAAAAATGAAGGTCAGATTCGTTTAAAATACACCGGAAAAAACATATTGGTCAACCCATAGGGACTCCTATCCGAAAGTAAAAATTTACCAAACTTAGACCAGATTATAGCTCTTAATGCACTGTTTTATCATAAGGTCTTATTTAAACACCCAATTACAACCGTCATTTGCGAGTGTACAGTATACCTGCTGTTCATATTTAGATACTCCACGACCCCCTGACGGAGACACGTTGATCCTCCCCATACTGGCCAGACATTATGTAAATAACATTGATTATGTGTTAAAGGAATATCCTTCCTTCCTTAGGCTTTAGTAAGCCCCTTTATAATATTTATACTGTATATACTTGTGACACTTGCCAGATGCTTCTGGTGTCATTGTACAGGGGTACCTAGTGACAGCACTAGGATCCCGCTTCCTCTATCAAGGAATAAACAATTGAAATTGAATTGATGGGAGGAAATCGGTTAACCCCCCTTCTCCCTCACCCTCTGTCTCTAGTAACTTCTCAGACACTAGAATTATGATCAGTTTTATTTATATTCAATAAATGATAAGAACTATGAAAGTGAATTTTTTGTATTTCAAATGATATGGTTCATTTTTCTCCTCAGCATTTATCGGTCATGTGAGCACTCTAGCAACTTTCTTCTGGCTTAACGTTATGTGTTACGACATGTGGTCAACACTCCGGTAAGTCTCAGAGCCTTTTTTATTGGGGTAGTGGTGATTAACATATTTTCTTATGTACTGTATTAGGTCATGAAATCACATTAATTTTCATGGACCCCTCTCAAGAATGTCATATTGTTCACCATATTACAGGCTGTATTCTGAGCATAGTCAGGTAGATAGTTGAACTGTAATGTTTAGTACAGTACTGTAATCTGAAACATGTTTTTTGATACTTGTAAATCACAACAATATTGATCATGGCTTCAAAAGTAGCATTTTGTTTTTTTAAATGGTAAGTAAGGACTTACTGAAGCATCTACAAGGTCTGCCTCTTGTCCTAAAGGTAGCTGGTTCTTGTCCAGGGCAACTGAAGTCCATACAGTTCTTTTTTCTTTTTTTTTATCCTCTTCACCACTGATCGGCTCGGTTAGAAAATGTTTCTAAAATTTATAATGAAGTGAAGTCCCTTGAATGTATTGTTGACTACATTGCCTCCTTATGTATCATTGGCTTAGTACTCGTTGTATTTTATCAACAATACCCCTGATAGGCAGCCAGGCCTGAGGGATCCACTTTCACTCTTTTCATCTTAAAAACCAAGTGGCATTAGTTGATGAATGGGCTGCTCTGACTTACCCAGACTGTTAATTATGGTATCCTGTGAGGAACAGATGTAAATGTCCTCGCTTTACAGCAGCAAAACGACCATAACTATATACAGTATGATAGTCCTATACCTATCAGTTGTTGCATAGTGGAAGCAAGACATTTGTGTCCTTGTTATTACCTGTTTTTACATACTTCTGTGTGTTTAGTCTTTGATATAACTAAATGAATTTTGGTTAAAATGAACAAATTTTATTATATTTTTTTCATTCAATGTAACATACAGCACAGTAATAGGGTACCAATTTTACAAGCCGATCTTTTGGTGAAGAGGATAAAAGAAAGAAAAAAGATAATAATACTGTACAGTACTTTAATCTTCATGTTAACATGTAGAAAAATTACCCTGTATATAGTAACTTCAATGATAATTTAACTACCAGGTACAGTATAAAAATAATCCTGAATTCTAGCCATAATACAGTAAAGTATTTGAAAAGTTTGGGAATTATGCACTTTAAAAATGATAATACTTGTACATTGCCAGGTTACCTCTGGGACCCATAGGCTTGAGGGCCTGTTAGGGACAGTTTGCATGTAACACACTGTTTACCGAGTCTTTAGTGCAGTACACAAACAAGCAGCATGGCTGTCTTCACTTTCCCAACTTAGGTACAGTACTCATTATAGTACCTCTGGGTGGATTAGGGGTGCCATGAACCTGAAGGATAGAAAGCGAGCTCATTATCCATCCGGCCACCCCTTATAATTTATCAAATGCACTACAATTTAACGAGTGTTAATTGATCTTAACCCCAGTCATTCTCATGTGAAGTTTGTATTTTCTATTAACATTTCATATCATATGCAGATTCAGCATAATTCACATCATATGCTAAGAGTCTGGACCAATTGCAGATCATCCCGACAGAAACATCACAGCAAGAAAGTATTCCTACTGTACAGCATATATGCTTGGGGTGGTCCCCTGGTGGTGGGTGTAGTAGCGCTGGTCATTGATAACCTACAATTAAAGAATGTCATCCTTCCTCAATTTTTGAATGGCAAAACCTGTTGGTTCTATGGTGAGTTTATGCTCAACCTTTTTTATATATAATTGAAAGTATGAATAATGTTATTTACAGACTTCGGTATATTACATATTACATGTATTTCTTATACAATACTATATTTTTTTTAATTCTTCTCTATTCAAAGTGACATTAAACAATCTTCTTTTTTATTGCCTTTTCTATTATTTTCAAATTTTATTTTACCTTTTTGGCTGTCCCTCAACATTATAGGTTGGTCAAAGCCAGAAGATAATACAGACTCATTATTTTCTGTTATTGCTATAACTTCAGTTGTAAATCATTAGCACTGCCTTCCTATCTTTCATTTATTCATCTGCTTCCTGGACGTCAATGCCCTGGCTTATAGTGCATCCTTCACCTAATCCTTCCATCTCCTTCTTGGTCTTCACCTTTCCTTCTTTTCATTCATGTTTAATTCCCTAAATAATACTTTTATATAGTACAGTAATTTTTGTATTTACTAATATCTGCACAGTGCTTCCTTGCTTTAAATAAGGGGTGCATTCCTAGAAAAGAGTATTCAAGGTGAATTTGTTTAAAGTGAACCTATTTTAACATGGTGCAAAGGGGATAGGTTCCACACTGTGTCCCAAGACCCAATACATTACTGAACTGTTTCCTCACTAACTGACATAGTACAGTACACACAATTAGTACAGTACATAAATATACAGTGACCCCTCGTTTAACGAACACCTCGGTTAACGTAATTTCGATTAACGAACTGCCTTCCATAAGGATCTTCAATTCGGTTAACGAAAAAAAATTCGGTTAACGAAGTTCTTACGAACCGACCTCAACATGTTTTCGCTTGCACTGACCGGGCAACCAGCTTTAGTATCAGTCCGCCAATACATTAATCGGTTCTAGGGCTTAAATTCCTTACTATTTTAGTAAATATCAAGAAGTTTATACCATTCAATAATTTTAAAAGTTTAATATTCAATTTTTTAGTCATTTTAACAATTATTGAACATAACTGAAGGTAAAGTGACTAGTTTAATGTGCGGCATCCAGCCTCTTAACACAGCAAACAGGAGTTAGTCTCTCTCTGTTTTCACTGGAGGTAACATCTTGCTTGAGACTCTCTTAACTAAACACTTTTTTTCTGTGTTTCCAAGCAAATTATTGGTCATTTTGAAACATATTTTACATATTGACAATATATAATGCAGTGCAGTGTTGATTTAAAGAAAATAATCTTGAATTACACCAAGAGAGCTAAAATTTTATGGGTGAAATGGCGCCATGGGATGACTTCTCTTCCACCCCAATGCCTTCTCTTTTTCCTTCTCCTCCACCCCCAATCTAAATCCCATCATCATCATCATCATCCAGAAGCCTTCTACATACACACCTCAAAGTAAGTGAACTTTTCTACCATTTTTGTTGAATTTAGGAAATTTTCGGTGAGCTGCAACCAATTACCCAAAAACCCATTGAAGCAATGGTTTCGGTTCACGAACTTTTCGGTTAACGAACGACCTTCTGGAACGGATTGAGTTCGTTAACGGAGGGGTCACTGTACATTAATACAATCCAATAGACGTACTGTACAGTATAAATCAGTAGGTCCCTCGGTTAACGAACGATTTGATTAACAAAATTTTGGTTAACGAATTACCTCCCATAAGGATCTTCAATTCGGTTAATGAACAAAACTTTGATTAACGAAATCCTTACGACAAACACGTTTTGTTGTGAGCATCAGCTGATCAGCTGATGGGCTAGTCTGCCATTTCAGTAATCTGTTCTATGTTTACATTCGTTTCCAGTGGAGTAAATATCAAGATAGTTGTGCTCTTTAATATTTTTGCATTTTTTATATTAAAATTATTAGTCATTGTAAAATTTAGTTAACATATCATTAATATATGCAGTACAGGGAACTAGTTTTTGTGTGCCCATCAGCCGCTTGACTCACCCACCAGACGTCAGTTTGGCTTTGTTTACATTGGAGTGAACATCGATTTTGTTGGTCTTGAATATTTTTGCATTTTTACATTAAAATTATTGGTCATTCTGAAATTTAGTTAACATATTGATAATATATAGTGCAGTGCAGTGTTGATTTTAATAAAATAATCTTGAATTACACCTAGTGATCTTAAAATTTTATTGGTGAAATTACTGCATCAAGCATGGGTCCCCTGAAAGGTGATTTCTTCTCCATCCCCACTTCCTTCTCTTCTCCCTTCTCCTCCAACCCCACTTCTAATTCCCATCATCATCATCAACCAGGAACCTTCTACATACACACCTCAAAGTAAGTGTACTTTAATGCATTTTTTTTTTTTTTACTTTGCATGTACTTTTCTGTGAGCTGGAACCAATTACCCAATGTCCCATTGAAACAATGGATTCAATTAACGAAATTTTCGGTTAACGAACGACTGTGGAACGAATTGTGTTCGATAACCGAGGGACCACTGTACTGTACTGACAGGCTGGTTTTTATGTAGACGGGGATGATGGTAGTGTAGGATGAGGTGGCCTGTGACTCTGAGATGTCTATGCGTGCCGAATCAGTGGCAAAGAGGATACAGATACGGTCAGTGGAGGCACACTGCTGTTTACTTGAGGTCCATGCTACCTCACTTTTGTGGCTCCTCTTCAATCTTTTTGGCTGTCCCCTTTCCATTCTACCATCGACCTAATATTTATAGATATTGTACTGTACACTTTCTTTACTTTTCTTTAACTTCCCATTTTCTCAGTACAGTATGTCTATACAGTATGAACAAAGCAACCCCTTATCTACCAAGTTCTGAACATTGTTCAAAGCTTAAAAAAAAGAGAAAATTTGCAATAACAATATGGATAGTAGTTTTACTTAATTTTCTCTTTGTTTGATATAGCTACTGTATTGGTCCTGAATGCTGAGAAAGATGATTTAGCCTTGCCTTTGAGCGTGATGATAGGACAGGCTCTGCTCACAGAAGACCTGACCCCTGGAGGGCCAATGTAGCACTAAGTTCCCTGTTGTCATTTGAGATAGGTGTGATGTGGAGGGAGGAGATATTGGTATACCCAAATTTTTTAACATACCGTATCATCTTGACCTCCATTGTAGAAATGAAAGGTTGATTATAGTTCCTTTGTCAGCAGCTGTATTTTGAGGCCTGCCTGGCTGTGAGTTCTGCTGAAATATAAGATTTCTAATCCAATCCTTTATTTTTTTATTTCAATACCTGTATAAAATGTCAAACATTTTACGAATTTATAATCACTTGTATTATCCATCTACCCACTGCAGGTAATGATGAGTACTGGCTCTACCTGGCAGGCATCATCTTTGTCTTGGTGGTGATCAACTTGTTCTTCTTTATACATGTAGCGATCACACTGGGAAGAGACTTCAAGAAAAGGCGAGAAACGTTTGGCACTAATACAAGCCAAAGCAGTAATTCTACCAAAACTAATGCGCAGTAAGTTTTACACTTCATCAGAGACTGAATAATGGTATTTTATGACTTAATTAATATCAGGATAAAGATTAATTAACCTTTAATTTACATACTGTATACTGTACTGTATAAAGTGCAATTTGGATTAAAACGTTCAATACAGTACTTGTTTTCTGAATTACCTGTATATTCATATTATCATATGATTTTAATCTAAGCTCATCTTTTTTTTACTTAATTAATATCTACAGTATTTCTGTTCCCGCTCTTTATAGTACGTATTCCCTATTACTAGTACTTTGCCTGGATTACTGGGTATCTTACATGTCCAAAGGAGGGCTAGAAGTCGGTGCCAGTACTCAGACACCTAAGTTACTGAGAATGTCTTCAGTCGCCTTGTTTATATTATAGAAGGGTGGGTAAGAGGAAGTTGATGAGCTCCTCAAAGGGCATTACTCAGTCAAATGTTTGCTTCTGGAATTAGCAGATGGCTATCCCGCTAAAGGTCAGAGTCTTAATTTAGATTTTAAATTTTTTCTTTTTTCCATTTACAGTATGCTCATTGCTCAGTAAACTACCAAGCCATGCAGTTGGTCTTTCTTTGTTATGCACTGTTGGCAAGTACTGCACTGACATATACGGGCTCTTAAATGTACCTCAACATGTGTCAGTGTCTGTCAAGTCTGGTCTTAAATGTGTCTACACTTGGTGTTGTCACAACACTGGCAAGTTATCCAAGAGTTTACAACTCTTACTGCAAATAATTTAGCTCAGACAGTTTTCTGCGCTCTCAGATTCCATAACTTCAGGCTTTGACCTCAAGTCAGGCAGCCATCAGCCAACTCCAAATACCCGGTAGGTACATCTAATCGAGTCATGTCCTTTGAGGTGCTTAGAAACTTCCAATAAATCATCCCTTCCATTTCTGTAGTATAAGCTAGGCAATTGGAGATGTTCAAAAGTGCTTGTCCTTTTTGCAGTGCTGAATGATGTGGATTGATTGTCATATAATATTGTAAAAAGATTTGTATGGGCGTGACCTTATTCAATCTAATATTTTCAGATGAGTTGGAGGGATAAGGTGTGCATAACTTGGGGGTGTAATAGGTTGTGCAGTCTTGAGGACAGAAGTGTTTGGTACTGTATTTTGTTCATGATGATTTTTTGTGTTGAACTGCCATGATACTTCATCTTGTCTAACAAATCTGCTGACGTTTTTTAGGAAAGTCTTCGAGGTAGTAGATAATGACGAAAATTATGATGTTATTTACTTAGACTTTAGCAAAGCATTTGACAGAGTACCGCATCAGAGGCTTCTGAGAAAAATTAAGGCTCATGGTATCGAGGGGAAAGTTTTAAATTGGATAAAATCATGGCTCACCGATAGAACGCAGAGGGTCAGCGTAGATGGTGTTAAATCTGAGTGGGGCTGTGTAACCAGTGGGGTTCCTTAGGGGTCAGTACAGTCTGCCCTTAACATACGCGGGGTTAGGTAACAGAGATACCCGTGAATGTTTAAAATCCGTGTACTTTTGCTGCCCCCCCCCCTAAAAAACCCCTGGCCCCCCATGTCCTTATTTACTGTATATACCTGTGTGTAGTTCGAGTTTTTAAGACCAAATTATTTTGCAAAAAATTGGGGGTCGACCTCTAAAAGGGTAATAGTTTCGTTAGGTTGAAAAATATTTACCAGTAACTACCAGTAAACAATGGAAACGACGCACCAACGCACCACCAGCTGTGAGTGTCGGTACAGTCGCCAGGGCAGATCTCTTGCGTCATCATAGCTAGCCCAAAGTAGCCAAATGCATGGTATGGTATACACAGGACGATGTAAAACAAAGTATTCATTTGTTAAAGTTTATTTATAGATACTGTACATAAATTTTTGTTCATTACATTTGAAACATCAATCTTTGTTAATTAAATTTGATACAAAAGAAAACTACGATACCGTATTTTCATTAAAATATTACATCACAAGTATATTTTACCTTAACTGTGACTGAATGAATATATTCTCAGAAATAAATATGGAAATGTAATATTTTGGCTGAAATGACGTACATATTACTGTACAGTGGAAAGTGGGATAAAATTATGAAAACAATGACTTTCGCTTTCTTTCGTTGTTCAAAAGATTTTACCGTAATCGCTTTTCGAATGGTTTTCAGTTAAAAAACTGTTGTACTGTACTCATACTGTATTACAATAATATTCTATCCTATCATTAGCCTTATAATCCCACAACTGAAAACCATTCGAAAAGCGATTACGGCAACATCTTTTGAACGAAAGAAAGAGAGAGAGAGTCATTGCTTGCGTCACAATTTTATCCCACTTTCCACTGTAATACGTACATCATTTCAGCAAAAATATTACATTTCTATGTTCTCAGAAATAAATGGTAGTTTTGTTGAAACGTAATGTACAGTATTTAATATTAAAATGCAAAAATAGCTATAAAAACAATTAATACACCCGAAATATACTGGCTGGTATCTCCACTCGTCCCTGCTCCTGCGTCCAAGGTCACCTCACCACTCCTCCCAACTTGCTCCCTCCCCTCCCTCCGCACCGTCGCTACTGCCGACAACAAACACAAATGCTTTGTGAGTAACTGCACCTCCACTTCCTATGTACAGTACTTGTACTGAACTGTACTGTGCATTTTTACAAACAATAAACATGGTAAGAAAAGCTATTACAAAAAAGAGATAAGAATTTCACTTTACTGTACCGTACCTCTCCTCGGCGACAGGGCGGGGATCTTCGGGCTCATGGTCACTCAATTCCATAACAGGTGGTGAAGTGGGGGCGACTGTGGATTCAGCTGCTTCCTCACAGTCGCCAGTGATTGATGGTGTTAAATCTCTCCTTCGGTGATCAAAGAACATGGTGATGGGGAGTTGTTGTCTCTTTCTTTCATTTCTTCCATTATGTTTTTGTATGGAGCGAAAACGTCATCCATCCCTCGCATGAATTTCAGGGCACGCACCATGGAGGGGTCCATACTATAGGCCAGGTTTTTCAGTGCCTCAATATTCCTGGTCATCTCCCCCAACTTCTCCAACGTTATTTCTTGGTGCTCTTCCTCATCCTCTTTCCCTTTCGCTTCCTCTTCCTTGCCTGAGTCTACTAACTCCTGTAGATCCTCCTCGGTCAGCTCAGTGTCGTGCTCTTCAATTAGCTCCCTAATCTCGTCCTCTGCCATGTCCCGGAAGCCTTCAGCAGCCACTTTCCTTGACAGTGCCAGGGTCTTTCTGAATATTTTCATTAAAATCCATCAAAATCATTTTCCTTGTCATCGTCTTAAGCACCAAACAGCTCCTCCCAGTCTTCTCCTTGAACAGGGCTAGAGGGTACGTGTTTTTCGAATCGTTTTCAATTAAAAAAATGTTACAGCACATGTATATTTTACCTAAACTGTGCCTGAATGAATATATTCTCAGAAATAAATAGTAGTTTTGCTGAAACGTGATGTATTTCAATGTAAAATAGGATAAAATACATGACGAAAACAAAAGACTTTACCTAACCTTCCAATGTTCAAGAGATGTTACTCGTTTTTTTAATAGTTTTCGGTTAAAATACTGTTATATTACAATGATATTATATTCATACTGTGCTTGATATACTACATTCACGGAAATGTAATATTTTTGCTGAAATGACGTACGTATTACAGTGGAAAGTGACGAAAACAATGACTTTCGCTTTCTTTCGTTCAAAAGATGTTACCGTAATCGCTTTTCGAATGGTTTTCAGTTAAAAAAACTGTTGCATCACAAGTGAATTAGGATAGAATATTATTGTAATACAACAGTTTTTTAACTGAAAACCATTCGAAAAGCGATTACGGTAACATCTTTTGAACGAAAGAAAGCGAGTCATTGCTTTCGTCACTTTCCACTGTAATACGTACGTCATTTCAGCAAAATACAGTGGGGTATGCTATAACGAATCTAATTGGTTCTAGAACCTTGTTCGTTATAGCATTCGTTCATTATAGGATTAATCCGTTCCAGGCCCCCAAATACAACCACTTAACACTGAAAAATATAATATAAAATTGTAAAAATTGTAAAAAAGTGCATAAAGATGCATCTAAACCCCTGAAATAAAGAATATCATTAATATTTGTAATAAAAAACAATAAATTAGAAAAAAAATTAAATAATGTTCGTTGTACAGTGAGTTCTGCTATAACGCGTGTTTTGATAACGCGAATTTGCTCTAACGCGATTTATGAATTCGGAACAATATTTGTATAACGCGAACGCTTGTTTGCTATAACGCGAACGCTTGTTTGCTATAACGCGATTTTTGCTTACTATTTCTCCAATTTTGTGGTATTAACTGTGAATATGGTAAAGAAGAATATCTCCAAAAAGCGTTCTGATGATAGAATTCCCGGTGATTATCGTAAAAGAAAGGATATAACACTTGAAGAGAAGCTCGATGTTATCAACCTCAAAATCACCCTTCTTCCCCATCAAGTTACATTCATATTTTTTCAAGGTAAAGTGTTAAATTTACTGTATGATTTCATTATTAGATATGAATGTAACATTTATTTAGACTGTGCTATCCTTTGTGTTAGGCTAACTACTAAATTTTTTCGATTTCGAGTAATCTGCACCTAACCCTATTTTCTCCATAAGCCCTGTTATTTCTATTACGCGATTTTCTATAACACGATATTTTACAAGAACACAATTATCGCGTTATAGCAGAACTACCTGTAGGAGTTTCGTTCGTTATAGCATTCTCAATTTTATAGGTAAAACCGTTCGTTATAGGAATATTCGTAGTAGAATCCGTTCGTTATAGCATACCCCACTGTATTACATTTCCATATTCTCAGAAATAAATAGTAGTTTTGCTGAAACGTAATGCATTTCAATGTAAATTAGGATAAACTACATGAAAACAAAAGACTTTACCTAGCCTTCCGATGTTCAAGATATGTTACTCGTTTTTTTAGTAGCTTTCGGTTAAAATACTCTTATATTAGTGATATTCTATTCATACTGTGCTTGATATAATACATTCACGGAAATGTAATATTTTTGCAACTACAATGCTGATGTCAACACAAGCGTGGTTACAGCGAGACTTGACTGAGTGAGGGAGAGGTATGCGTGTGTGTGTGAGGTTGCGGGAGCGGGCGATGTCCCGTGTGAGGTGCCGCGCGCGAGTTGAATGGCGCGCGATTTGAATGTACTTCAATGTACAGAATATTCCTCCGGCGGGGCAATCCGCGTATTTGCGAATCCGTGAATGCTAAACCCGCGTATGTGAAGGGCCGACTGTACTAGGCCCACTCTTGTTCATAATCTACATAAACAATCTAGATACAGGGATCAACAGTGACATAAGCAAGTTTGCGGATGACACCAAAATAGGGCGACAGATTAATTCAGGGCAGGATGCAAATGCATTACAGGAGGATCTAAATAAACTACACGGGTGGTCTGAAATATGGCTAATGAAATTCAACACCAGCAAGCGCAGCGTACTTAATATTGGAAGAACAAATACTAATAATGTATACAGCCTTAACAACATCAACCTAGAGAAGTCGACTTGTGAAAGAGACTTAGGGGTACTTGTAAGCCTGGACCTACGGCCTAGAAAACAGTGCGTTAATGTTCGAAATAAGGCAAACAGAGTATTGGGTTTTATATCTAGAAGTGTAAGTAACAAGAGTGCAGAGGTCTTATTGCAACTATATCTTGCGCTAGTCAGGCCGCACCTCGATTATGCGGTTCAGTTCTGGTGCCCTTATTATAGAATGGATATAAATTCACTTAGAGTAGGTGCAGCGAAGAATGACAAAAATGATTCCGGGACTTAGAAACCTTCCATATCAGGATAGGTTAAAGAAACTTAACTTGCATTCCCTAGAAAGACAAAGAGTGCGGGGAGATATGATAGAATTATTTAAGTGGGTGAAAGGAATCAATAAAGGGGATATAGATAAAGTTCTTATAATATCCGAGCAGGATAGGACTCGGAGCAACGGATTTATGTTGGATAAGTTTAGGTTTAGGAGGGAGATAGGAAGAAACTGGTTCACAAATAGGGTGGTGGACGAGTAGAACAAGCTTAGTAACTTTGTAGTAAGTGCGGGAACTCTGGAAAATTTCAAAAGGAGGCTAGATAGATTCATGGATGATAGAGAGTGATAGTAACTCTCGACAGGAGCTGCCATGCACAGGCCAACCGGCCTATTGCAGACTCCTTATTTTCTTATGTTCTTATACTAAGTATTATTAGACTTTCACAGGACTTTTTAGTACGGGGTATAAAGTACACTATTCTGCTTTACAAAACAGATTATGCTGCTGCTTCCATTTTTTGAAGAGGAATTAACTTATTGTGTTTAGGCATTGGCCCTGAAGTTATGAAATGTACAGTATCTGCTTCACTTAGCCTTGCAAAGAGCATAACTCACTCATCTTTGGATGTGGTAGAAGGGGTATGGAGGGTAGGATTCCCCAGTTTATGTCTGAGGCATACAAGTCAGGTGAACTAGTTCAGAGTTGGTCCCAGAAGGTATGCTTCATGAGGAATGTTCTGGCAGGTAATCTCAGATTTCACTTAACAGTTGATGGAGAAGCCATAAAAGTTATTTTTATAATGTTTCTTTAAACAGTGAGGTTTTGTTATTCCCAGGGTCTGGCTCTACATAAAGCTCTTCATTATCATGGGGATTATATGGATAGCGGAGACCATCTCCGGTGCCCACCAGAGGAAAACCTGTACCTATTGGTAGGTATAAATAAAATACAATATTGTTGTTCCTGACCATAATTTTGCAGAATACCAATGATGAAAGCTTTATATTTATTTTGGTAGCTATGTTTAAATGAATACAGTATCATTATTGTACCAGAACTATAAATAAACATTTTAGGGATAATTTTCAAATAAATTTTACACACTCATGTGGTGACCACTTGAGACACTGAGATTAAAATAATTCTGGTTACTGTGAGACCAAGGTCAGAGTCACAGTGGAAGATCAAAATAACATTACAGGGGGTCCCTGGGTTCTGAACGGGTTCCGTGCTGGAGAACGTTCTTAAGTAAAAAAATGTACGTTAAGTTGAAATACATGCTATGTGCATACCGTACTTACAGAACAATGTTTAAAGTCCCTCTATATCATAGCCTATGTCCTTATATAACTCTAAAATCACTTAATTTAAGAGAAAAGGAGAAATAGAGTGACAAAATAGAGTAAATGAAAGTAAAAAAATAAGTCATCAGGTAAATAAAATACTGTAAATTTAAAGTTTAACCCTGTTCTTATTGGTGTTCATTCGTAAGTTGGGGACCCCCTGAACAGTACTGTATAAGAGGCTGTTTGAGTGTAGTTTTATTTGTACAGGGTTATGTCATTTAAGAGTGAATAAAATACAGTACAGTACAGTAGTGTTGATTTTTGCAGGTATGTACTGTGGAGTTATAATTATTTTAACTAAGTTTGTCTTGAGTGTTACTGGAGTCTCTTCCGTGTGAAATAATAATTTAAGTTATTCTCAGCAAACGTTATGCTCTTCATTGTTTGAATTTCCTTGATACATAAAAGTGCATTTTCAAACTGACTGTCATTAACCAGGGTAACATACCTTTTTGGTTTGGTCTTCATTGAAACCAAATCCTCCACATTGTGCATTAGTTGGTAACTGTTTATATAGTAACACTAAAGGCAGAATTTGTACTGTTTAAGACCAAGAATAAGTTTTTATTATTAATATTACAAGTAAATCCAAGTGAAGCTGACAAAACATAATTAAGATAGAACTTATTAAGGCTCTTTAGGTAAAGTTTGTTTGTTATAAAGTATTGTTTTGAATCCACTAAACTTCAGTACAGTAATTAAATACAGTAGATAGCATTTGATATATTGTATCTAACTTGGTGAATTGATTTTACAGGGTGTTTTTTGATATAATCAATGCATTGCAAGGAGTATTCATCTTCTTTGTGAGTGTTTGCAACAAGGACAATAAGAAAAAGGTGAGTGGCTTATTACTCCTTTAATTATCACTAAAGTATACTTAATTTGTTCTCATTGTTGTGTTCCCTTCAGTTTGTTACTTAACTGGTCATTTTCTTTTTTCCTTTTTATTCCTCTTCATATGTTTTAGGACAGTTGTTGTGTTGTTCTTTCCTGTAACCCCTCACGATAAAAGCAAGTACAGGTAATTTATCCTTCTTATTCTTTAGTGTGAAAGTTATTGCCATTTTCTAATTTGAGCTTATTGACGACAGTACAGGTATACCACTTGAGTTATGATCCTGGATGTTTCAGTGGCGTGCCCTAACAAATTGAACACTAAAGATGTAATAAATGCACACACACTATATATATATATATATATATATATATATATATATATATATATATATATATATATATATATATATATATATATATATATATATATATATATATATATATATATATATATATATATATATATATATATATATATATATATATATATATATACAGTGAGTTCTGCTATAACGCGTGTTTTGATAACGCGAATTTGCTCTAACGCGATTTATGAATTCGGAACAATATTTGTATAACGCGAACGCTTGTTTGCTATAACGCGATTTTTGCTTACTATTTCTCCAATTTTGTGGTATTAACTGTGAATATGGTAAAGAAGAATATCTCCAAAAAGCGTTCTGATGATAGAATTCCCGGTGATTATCGTAAAAGAAAGGATATAACACTTGAAGAGAAGCTCGATGTTATCAACCTCAAAATCACCCTTCTCCCCCATCAAGTTACATTCATATTTTTTCAAGGTAAAGTGTTAAATTTACTGTATGATTTCATTATTAGATATGAATGTAACATTTATTTAGACTGTGCTATCCTTTGTGTTAGGCTAACTACTAAATTTTTTCGATTTCGAGTAATCTGCACCTAACCCTATTTTCTCCATAAGCCCTGTTATTTCTATTACGCGATTTTCTATAACACGATATTTTACAAGAACACAATTATCGCGTTATAGCAGAACTACCTGTATATATATATATATATAGTAAAACCTCGATTAACCACATATGGGGGAAGGGGTCGACGGTTAATCGAAAAGGTCGGTTAATAGTACATAAAGTCTACGGAAATAAAACACTTTCAAAGTACCTTTCCCTAACCTACCTCATTTAAGTCCCTCTATTCATTTTCTTCATTTGCCATTCATATTTCAATAGAATTTCCTTTAAAACATTAACCACTTTAGTAAATAAATATGAACCAGCACAGAAACCGTGCATAAAAAATGGAAAAGTCAAAGAACATATGTCACTACAAAAATTGTGACCAAGTCCCAGGTTGCTGATCTGATTTTCTGCCTCATTTACACACAATTGCAGGATAAAAATAAAAGCATATATGTAGTGAATGCGCATAAAGCGAGGGTCTAGTGTGTGTGTGTAGGTATATACACAGTAGACCCTCGCCATTAACAGGTTTCCGATTCACGATTTTGACTATTCGCGGTAAGCAGATGGTGGCTGTGATGGCTAGCCTGCGAGCCTTTTCCCGCAGCATCTCGTGTTGTACTTTCAAACTTTAGTGTTTCTGTGTGGAAATAGCCCCTAATAGACTGCTTAATGTCAGTGCGAGTAATGCTAGAAAAGTTAAATGTAAAAGGTAGAAGTCAATGATGACCTTGACAAAGAAAGTTGAATTACTAGACAAGTTAAATGAGGGGATGACTGCTGCAGCAGCTGGTCAGTTGTTTGGTAGTATAAGTTGTCAATAATATTTGTACTCATAAGTTACAGTATGTATTCAACTTAGCAGAATCAATGTAGATGGGTTTTGAGGTGATGGAATGGGAGTTAATGGGAAAGAGAGGGACAAGGAGTGATACTGTACTATATTATGGCTGTCTGGCTTACCTCACCCACATCAAACTACTCTAACACTTTTGGGTATACTGTACATTCAAAGTAATGACTCGTGGCTCTTTCAACTTCACTGCAGCCACTTGTTCTTAAGAAGGAAATAACTATGACTGAGATGCAATAATGACCATATAGAAAACCTTATATTCTCTGAAGTTAATTAATAAATGGGTAATTACTACTAGGATACTGTCTTATTATCCTGCAGGTTAGATTTATTAGTAATAAGGTACACAAGGTTATGTTACTGATATATGTCCTTCACTGACATAACATTTTGGAAATGTTAATGAGAAGGGAAGGGTGAGAGGGAGGTGGCAGCCAGTGGGGGGGTTAGGGGTAAGGGACAGGTGGCAACCATGGAGAGGGTCAGGGGTGAGGTGTAGATGGCAGCCATGGAGAGGTCAGGGGGAAAGTGGCAGCCATGGAAAGATTCAGGGGGAAGGTGGCAGCCATGGAGAGATCCAGGGGGAAGATGGCAGCCATGGGGAGGGTCAGGGGATAGGTAGCAGCCATGGGGATAGGTCAGGGGTTCAGGTCATTCCTGGAACTTCTCTATTATGAAATAAACTGAGAGACTTACTGGATCAGTTATGAAGTGTTTTTTTTTTTTTTTTAATGCTAATGTTAATGATTTTATTTTGACAATTCAAAGACATGTTAAAATACCTTGGACGTATGTGAACACCATTATATGCCTTACCTAATATACCAGACAAGGGTAGTGAGCGAGCTAGTTGAGATCATTATAAAAAATTAGTTGTTGACTCAATCACTTGACCAATTGTTTAGCAAGGAAAGAAAAAATGTAATCATCAGTTTTGGTTCAGATGTATCTTGTGTTGTGCAAGAGAAAAGGTTTGTTTTTTACTGAAGCAAACTAAACAAAGATCAACCTTGTTATTTGCTTAGTGAGTGTTGTTGTTGAGGGCAGTGTTGTGTTGTTATGATCAGCACAACGATAATAAGGCTATACAAAGCTCTCTCTCTTTTCCACAGATAAAGTTATTACCCCTAAGACCCACTATATAGACTCATGAATGTCAGCTCATTAATAAACTACAGTATATCACTTATAGCCTTTTGCTTCCATTTTCACTCAATACTTTTTCTTCATGACCCATTATGTAAGTCAGTAACCGATTTGAATGTGTTTTTTATTCCTAAACAGATATCATTACTATGTATTAACAATCATTAATGAATTATTTTTTCTTTTATCCTCTTCACCACTGATTGGCTCGTTAGCCGCTTGGGCGATCGGTCACGACTCTGAGCAGTTTTCCTTTTCATTTATCCTCTTCACCAAAAGATCGGCTTGCTAGCCGCCCGGGCGATCGGTCACGTCTCTGTCACGCACTGTTGGCAAATACTGGGCATGCACCGGCTCCTGAATGTACCTGAACCCGCTCCAGTGTTGGTCAAGTCTTGTCTTGAAAGAGCTCACACTCGGTGCTGTCACAACACTCTCTGGTAGATTGTTCCAAGAGTTTACAACCCTCACTCTGAAAAAGTTTGCCATCACAGTTTTCTGGACTTGCGGCTTCTTCAATCTAGAGCTGTGACCCCTTGTAGGGCGAGCGTCCGCCAGCTTCAAGTAAGGAGACTCGACTGAGTAGTGCCCCCTGAGATGCTTATACACCTCAACTAGGTCACCCCTTGCCCGTCTGTAATATAAGCTAGGCAAGTTCAGGCGCTCCAATCTCTCAGGGTAGCTGAGGTGCCGAAGTGCAGGCACTAGTCTGGTTGCCCTCCTTTGAACATTTTCAACCAACATTCAAGAGCAGACCGTACATTTTTTTTCTTCATAAAGGCGTATTATTAAATCTCGGTTACCCTTACTGCCCCCTTAATGGCTACTTTAGACATCTTGAACAAGGGTGACAGTCTTGAATATGATGAGTGTGAACAACATAGAGAGCAGAAGGCATTAGGTTATAAATTTATATAGGCACTACTGTATATAAGAGTTTTGTTTATAGGATATAGATTAAGCACAGAAGAATACAGTGTTCTGTATTATAGTACAGGTACGTAGTCAGGAATATTCTCAAAACTATATTTTCTATTATTAAACTAATTTTGGTGATTTGATTTTAGAAGTACAGTAAAAGAACTTAAAATTTTTACAAAGCATTACTTATCTTAACAGATACGAGATGCCTGGAATCCTCGCCTTAAGAATGTCCAAAATACACTTACCTCTATGCAAGGGCCAATGTCAAGAATAGGTGTAAATGCAGGGAGACGAGGCACTGACGTGAGTATAGGAACATCTGATGCTTCTAGAAAGACTTCAGTCACCTCTCTCCCAAGGAAGTTCTCTCTTGCATCGAATATCTTCCATCCCACTTACAATACACACAGGAAGATCTCCACTGCCTCCAATCTTGAAACTATTCCAATGGAAACTACGGCTGATCAGTAACATACTGTACTCTACTCATATCTCAGTCTTAAGTGTTCATGATTTTTTTCTTTAAAGGGAACTTATAATTCTGCCTTTTATAGAACACTACCATATTAAATTACAGTATAGTATTAACCAGTAGCTCTTTTAGCTGAGTTTTAGGTGAGGAAACCTGCATATTATGGTGTCACACTATGGGGAAGTCTTATTCCAGTTCAGGGGGACTACTTTGCTCTTGGGCCTTAATTTGACCTAAAATCTTAACTTTTCATTATCCCTGGTGAGCAGTGTTGGCTTAACCTGGGTTTTAGGAAGACTGGGAAGGTATCATTGTAAATAACTGGTTGTCAAGAAAATGGCTAAGTCCCCTGCTGTAACAGTTTAAGGAGCCATAACTCTGGATATTATTCATAGAAATAGTGATTATGAAACTCTTCTGAGATGTTTTTAGGTTATTTGCATACAGGTACCTGGTTTGGTTAAAAAAGAAAAAAGAATACTGTAAATTATAAATATCTACCATATATCAGTCACTCTGCTGAGTGAAAAGCAATAATGTTATGCCAACCCTCACTGTATTGATATTAAACTATGGGTTGAACATACAGAACATATATAATCCTTGTGTAAAGATGTTCAAAGTTACAACCTTCATGTACTGTACTTGATATTTTTATACTGATGCCAGAATTGTAGGCAATAGAAATAACTAGTGATAAATTTATGTTCTCAACTGAGAAGTAATGTTTGAGGTTTTCATTTACTAACTCAGTGTTTTGGCAGTACTATTGTGACATAATTCACAATATCATCATCATGAGAATATGATTGAACACTGTCTTTTTTAAAGTTTCTCATTGAATTAGTTATGTGAAAGTGAGGCAAAAATACTAATGGGATGCCACTTTTAATATTTTATTTGGTTAACACACTATGATTTTATTCAGCAAAGAGTGGATCCCATACATGGTTAACAAAACAATAAATGGTTTGTACATATTTGGTATTCATTGTTTGTTGGTGTACTTCTCTGGATGCTTGTTTAAGAAAATCAAAAGACTGCTTATCATAATCACTGTACATAAAATTCTTCATGCTAAGCCATTTCCTAAGTCAGTACTGTATATGAATTTAACAACAAATTGAAAAATAATTTGTTTATAAATGACATGAAGATAACCAAATTAATAAAGAAAGAACCAAAAGATAATCCAGGTAGAAAAGGTTAAGATTGAAGTACAGTACAGCAATAGTTTGTGAAAAAAGATGAATAATGAAAAAGTAATGACTAAGAAGGAAGTTCACTTTCAATTTAATGAAAACTAGAACCAATACAGTAGTCTCACCGTACATGGGGAAGTGTGCCGGTAAAACACTGTGTAAGGTAAATAATAACCTTGTGAGAAAAATGGGGTTCCATACTAAGAGAAAATTTCTATATTTATGAATAACTTCCTCCTTCATTCACAAGCACCCATTAATTTGCTTACACAGCTCAAGCAACTAAAATTTTTACAAGTTACGAACAACCGCTGATATGAACGAGGTTATACTTGAAATTTTCAGTATTTTATTTGCTTGATGACAAATTTTTTACCTTTATTTACTGTATTTTGTCATTCTATTTCTCCTTTTCTCTTAAATTAAGTGATTTTAGATGTACTGTATACAAGGACTTAGGCTATGATATAGTGAGATTTTAAACATTATTCTGTAAGTACGGTATGCACACAGCATGCGTTCCAACTTACGTACATTAACCGATTTAGGTACAAAATACCTGAAAGAAGATATAGCTTACTGTGGCTACTGTTTATAAAAGAAGAGAAGGACAGAGGGAGAGTGTAGGTCAGTAAAAGGTGTACTAGTTGGAAAAGAAGCTTTTATATTCGCCTATGACCATTTAATAGTTATAAACCATTCATTCATTAATTTTCTTGCCACTTTAAGGCTTTTTTAATATTTCAAACTGTTATGCAAATTCAAAGATTCTCTGCCTGAGTAGCACTAGCACTACATTTCTGTAAAAATAATAGAACCCAAGACATTATTAAAAGTAAAAAGACCAGCACAAGAGTTAAGTTTGCATAAAACACATATCTCAGTCAGCAGATAATCCAAGACAGGTTTGTATTTACCCATTGGTTAGCTGCATTACCTACAATGTTACTACCCATAAAGGGTTCTGGTAAGTCAACCATCCTATCGAATAAATGCATCATGTTTGGGGAAAATTATTAGTGTGAGTTTAATTGTGTACAGTACAGTACAAGTATAAGCAAAAACTAAATCTAGAATTTATATGCATTTTGAATCTTCTGTGTTGACTTTCTTCTCAAGGAAGTTTGTTATGCTTTGTAAAAACAAATAACATTAATTCCTTGGACAATTAGAAACTAGTAATGCTCTTGCTGTTACTTTAAACAATTTGCATATGAAGGTGTTGAGTAGACCAAGATAGTATTAATACTGAACTGTACTGTATTTGTAAACGTATGGACTGAAAGAGGTGGTTTACTGCAAAGTTTTAGCATCCATGATGTTAATGTAAGTTTCTCAATTCACATTGAATTAGTTAGTAAGGAGGCATTATCATATGTCCCAACAGGATGAAGAAACTGCACTACAATGTATTTGAGACTGAATGTGAGAAGGACCCAGGTGTGTATGTTGACAATGAGCTGAAGTTCTCAGGCCATTTTGAGATGAAGGTAAATCAGGCAAATAAGTTATTGGGTCTGAAAGAAGGTAGTTTAGATATCTAGACCGTTCGTCCCTCGTAACGATCTTCAGGAGTGAAGTGCTTCCCCATCTGGAGTACTGCCACCCCGTCTGGTCCCTGAGATATACTAGGGACTGTCAGTTGGTTGAAAATGTTCAAAGGAAGGCCACCAAACTGGTGCCTGCACTTCGGCACCTCAACTACCCTGAGAGATTGGAGTGCCTGAACTTGCCTAGCTTATACTACAGACAGGCAAGGGACGACCTAATTGAGGTGTATAAGCATCTCAAGGGGCACTACTCAGTCGAGTGTCCTTACTTGGAGCTGGTGGAAGCTCGCCCCACAAGGGGTCACAGCTCAAGATTGAAGAAGTCACAAGTCTAGAAAACTATGAGGGCAAACTTTTTTGGAGTGAGAGTTGTGAACTCTTGGAACAATCTGCTAAAAAATGTTGTGACGGCACTGAGTGTGAGTTCTTTCAAGACCAGACTTGACCAACGCTGGAGCAGGCTCGGGTACATTCAGGAGCCGGTGCATGCCCAGTACCTGCCAACAGTGCGTAACAGAGAGCCAGTACATGACGAGTACTTGCCAACAGTGCGTGACAGACGTGACCGATCCCCCAAGCGGCTAACGAGCCGATGAGTGGTGAAGAGGATAAAAGTAACTTAATGTGATTTGTAGTCAATCTTATGCTAATGACAAATAAGGATTATTGTGCAATGGATCTAGAAAAGGATTTTTGTGTACATCATGATTGCTGAGAAATAAAGTACCTGTACTGTATTGGTAAGTCATAATACAGTATTTTGAGAAAATATTGTATATTTACAGTACAGTACTCTGTACAGTATATGCTAGGCATTCTCGCTCTGCAAAAGGGATATGTTCCATGGAAGTTGTACATTCAGTAAAAATTCAGAAAATTTGTACCGTATTTATCTGCAGTATCAAGTCAGGGTTGCTGATATAGTAAATGGTTCCCCATCCACAAAGTGACAACTCTAAACACTTGATTTTTTTTAAAATCATTTTTTGAGAGTATGGTATTCACTCTGGTTATTTTATGTCTAGTCACAATTTTAATCCATTCATGTTTATGTCAAGCTTGGAGGCTCGTACATCACATCACACTCCCCCTTTTGCCAACTTAAAGTAATTACTATATTTGATATACTGTACAATACAATACTCCACACATAGTTTTCCCCTGTCAGTAAATTAAGGGAATCTCCATGCAGGTGTTTATATATATACAGTATATATATATATATATATATATATATGTTAGCGGGAGAGAGAAGAGAAGACAGAAATGTTGCGTTTAGCACGTTGCAGGTGTGAGGTGCAGTTTCTTAGAACAATTTTTTAGGGGGGTCGTATGCATGTTTTTCTCAGCACATGAGGACAGTGCTTTGAGTTAGGTTAGGAGGTGTGCATTTATTGGGATAATATTATTTTATTGAGTGCCCTTAAGGCCTATTCATGGTGGAATTAATAATTTCTTATTTTTTAATACCATTTCCTCAGTGATTGATGTTATTTTGTTGAAAGCCCTTGAGGCCTGTTTCATGTGTGCAGGCAACACTTCTTAATATGAATTTATTGTTGTCTAATGAGGCATTGTCTGAGGTGCTAATAATTTCAATATCATGTATAACTTTTATCCCCCAGAGTAGCGTTTTAAGTTCAGGTTAAGAGGTGCGCATATGTTGGTGTACCATTATTTGATTGTGTCTGTAGTGTTGGAGGAAATATAAGTGTCTAAATTTTACAGTGTGTCTCATTCATCCCAATCACAGATGCTATCCTTCCACGGGTCACGGAGAATTCATTTTGTTAAGTAAATTTAAGTGTTCTTGTGCTGGTTCGGGTTTTTTCTCCAAGGGGCGCTTCCACTGCAATTTCCATCTAATAATTAATAAACCCCAAGTCAAGTGAGAAATTAAGGGTCCATCAATTCCGACCGGTTATATATATATAATATATATATATATATATATATATATATATATATATATATATATATATATATATATAAGGGAAGAACCATGGGATTACTGTATCACCATGTCAGGTCAGGACTGTTTGTGGGAGGCTGATGTAAATGAGGGGTTGATGGTGGGTGTGGGGGTTTGGATTAGTTGAGGATTGATGGTAGGTGGGGTGGAATGTGATGGTGGATGGGGTGTGATGGTGATTGGGGGGTTGATGGTGAATATGAGGTGTGATAGTGGGTAGGGATATCACCACTCAACCACAAATGTTCCCTCAGTTGTGTCCAAACTTTAGTTTATTTTATCATCTTCGCTACTTGTCAGCTTGTTAACCACTTGGGTGGTCAGTCACGTCTCTGTTATGCATTGTCGACAAGTATTGTACTACAATAGTTGCTATTTGATGATAATGTTGACAAATCCTTTTAAGTGTCCTTTTTGAGACAATAATAAAGCTCAAGCTAATGTCTGTAGCCAGTATATTTCATGGTTCTGTGTTCTTCAGTGTCACTACAAAAATGTCCCATGGCTGTTTCACCCTAAAAAATGTAAGATCGCCTGAATCACCTCCACCCCAGGTAGCACTAGGGGCTGAGGGGGGAGTCTTAAGGTGAGGTCAGATCAAATGTGTATTGGCTGTGTGACTTTGAACTGACCTGAATAGCTGACGCACACATGACCTGTGACCCACACTGACATCATATAACGTAGTGTGTCCTAGCCTAGTGTACACACGCAAACAATTGAATCCTATTGGAACAAGCACAAGAGTTACATCAAGACAATTAGGCAATGCTTGGTTGCAAACAAGACTATAAATGCTTATCTTTAAGAATTCATGTGGCATGATCTTTTTTCACATACATAATACTTTTGAGACTGTCACCATATTGCTCTACAGTATCCAGTATTTTGTATTATTGGGTAAATTTCTTTCTTGTCTGCTAGAGACTGTCAATTGATTGAAAATGTCCAAAGTAGGGCCACCAGACTGATGCCCTCACTACGGCATCCATGTTACCCAGATAGATTATACTATAGTATAGAAGTCTATTAACACCTCCGAGGTCATTGCTCAGTTGAGTGTTCATACTGGGAGCTGACAGATACGCTCCTCAATAGGAATCACAGTTTAAGGTTGAAGAAAACAGGTTCAGAAAATGCCAGGGCAAACTGTTTTGGAGTGAGTGTTGTAAACTCTTTGATATATGTCTGCCAGAGAATGTTGTGATGGCACTGAGGTACAAGTACATTCTGGAGCCAGTACATGCCCAATACTTACTAACAGTGTGTAACAGAGATGTTACTGAGATCCCAAGGGGCTAACAAGTGGTGAAGAGGATAAAGTTATGTAATCAGTATTGTGTACTTTAGAATATTGCGTAAATATTAAATTGTATATTCTTGTAACCTACCAATAAGCATGTAAAAAAGAAGCATAATTGTTTTGCATTTGTTCTTAACCTAACTATACAGCTAAAAATATACTCTAAAGGGGAATTCTTAAGGTGGAGCAGGGTGGGGTGGAAAGTCTTCAGGTGACCCTAAAAGAATTTTCACAAAGAATATGGTTGTTCTAGCAGTCTTTCTTGACTTACTGTGACCTACTGTATAGCTACAGCTTGAGTAAGACCCAGAAAAGACAATACAGTAGTATTAATTACTCAAAACATGGATCAGTGTACTTATGTTACGGCTATTACTGACTCGGGGTACACACATATCAGGAGCGGATCCAGAAATATCAAAAGGGGGGGTCCAAGAAGTTGTGGGTGGGGGATCATAGAGAGTCCGCTATATATATATATATATATATATATATATATATATATATATATATATATATATATATATATATATATATATATATAATATATATATATATATATATAATATATGCTGATAACCACAAGGAAACAACAAAAAAGTTCCCAAGCGCTTTCGTGTAATTCACATCTTCAGGGATGAGTGCAGACTAAAGAATAATACTTGACAAGGCTAATATATACAGTAGAGGAAAGTGAGATCAAGTCCCTAGGGGATAGCAGGTGTCCACAATGTTCTGATCATAAGGTAGTGACCCTAACTAATCTAATTAATAAAAAAATTGACCATGCCATCTCTAAGCACAGCAGCTGTCCCTAGTTCGGTTATAGGGTAAGATGACCCAACCTTCTCACCTGGTTACAAATCTTCTTAATCACAAAATTGTTCAGTTTGTACATATCATTACTCAAATTCATGTTGACAGATTCGGTATGTTTAATTAGACTGGATTCTATAATGTTCATACTGACAATTGAATTGCACGGTAATATTGAGTAGGCATTATCCCAGTACTGCGTGTTTTCTTGTTTCTTTGTGGTTATCAGCATATACGTGGATCACGCGCACCTACAGTGATTTACTTGTATATGTATATATATATATATATATATATATATATATATATATATATATATATATATATATATATATATATATATATATATATGGGTATGTGTGTGTGTGCGTGTGTGTATACAGGTATATGATCATAAGATGTGTGTCTAGTACAGTATAGTGAAAGTATGAAAGTGGCACAGACGGTAAAACGATCCCTTCACTTGACGTGGGGATGCTCCCTCCTCACACCACAACTTGGAACACGACCTCTCACCCGCCTCCAGGCCAACCAAAACACTGCATCAGACGATCAGTGGCTTCAACCACTCAGTATTACGGTTGCTGCCCGATGGGGCGGTAGTTCGCTGAGCTGCACATGTAGTGGATTACTGGACGCTACACACTCTTTTGTGTTATTTGTACAAGATCATCCCGTCTTTGAATAACCTGTCGTGGTTCAGCGAGTGCGTATCTTGTTTGTGAAACAGATCCAGTAAGTGACATCATTATGTTTACTTTCACTTAGACTTATTATGTGTATTGATATTCTGCATTACTTATAATAATAAAGTATCAGGAACTTTTCTGTAAGAAATTTGGAGCTAGTTGTGAAAAATTATCGTAGAAATTATACTTTATGGAATATAACCGGTCCTTACATGCAAAATTGTCAGGGCAAACCTTTTCGGAATGAAAATTGTAAACCCTTGAACAGCTTACCAGTGTGTGTTGTGTTGAGTGAATCACTCAACATCAACACTCAGAGTGACGATGACACCGAGTGTGAGCTCATTCAAGACACTTGACTAAACACTGGTGCTGGTAGTCTGGTATAGATGCATTCTGGAGCCAGTACTTGCCAACAGTGTGTAACTGAGACGTGGCCGACCGCCTAACTTGCCTAAGGGAGCTTAACAATTTGATCAGTGTCAAAGAGGATAAAAGTAAAAAATAAATTAATACGAAAACACCTTAATGAAAATTTGAGTGTTTGAATCTATGTTTGGAGCATGATGTGTTAGTGTAGAGTACAATCTCGAGATTATTTTGATTATACAAAATATATAATCACAATAATAAATGAGAATTGAAAACGGAATGCCGTATATTGGACTAACTTTATACGTGTTTCTAAGATTTTGGTACTTAAATTGCTATATACATATCATAACTTATTACTTCATATAAATCTGAATTAAAACTACTTATTTATCTATACACTGGTTAAGTAATGTAATTGACGTCAAAATAACACAACTACCGTCTAGATTGACGTGAACTTCAGCTGTTTTCGTCCATTTTCAAAAATTAAAGTTCCTCAAGATAATGAGCTCCGTCAACCTCGTTTTTATAATGATTAATTACCATTGATCATAATATTTCCAACAATAAGCTGGGTCCCTTTTACATCTTCATAATGACAGAGAACGATGACAACTGTTGGAAAGAATATAATATTACCTACGGTGACGCCTATTGTCTGATGCTCTTTGTTTACAACTGGGAATACTAATATTACATGACTGGAGTCCCCACAGGTGACACGCTGGTGAATGTATATGTAAGGCGGCACGTGACCAGGTGGAAAGCAATGATACCGTGTTCTGTGTCTTGATCAACAGTTTATGTTTCACTCGGAAAGTGACACGTTTCTTGGAAACACGATATTATAATGACGCAGGGGAAAATAACGATGAAATAATTATCATTGTGTATATCACAAATATTTTGGACTTTTAGTCATTATTACAACATTCAACTATTATTTTATATGGTTTATTCAGGACTGAAAAGTGGATTGTTGTTGAAGGGAGAGGGAGGAACTGATTCCCTGTTGTGTTCTACACTCACTCGTCAATACGAGGTTATGAATGAATGACAAACCTAGCCTTATGATAGACACGGAACGTGTTTTGGCCATTATGACCTTTAAAAGTCTCACGAATATAACTGATCGAATGATATAAGTTTAGTTACATTCAAGACAAAGCGGAATCCATTTTTGTATTTTTTTTACAAATACAGCATTATTAGTAGCAGCACTAATAATAATAAAAAATAGTATTATTATTATTTACCAGGACATAGAGCAGGGCATCCAAAAATTTTACTACATATTTTCTTTCATGTTGACCACTTTATTTAGTTAGCATGGTCCCTCAATCACATCTTTAATACTTCTGCAAATTCCGAAGTATTTTGTGTTGCCAGTTACATTTATAAACTCGGCTAAGCTCTTTGAGTTGTCGACTTCATATTTCTAGACTAAAACCTTGGACCGAGGATGTCCCTTGAAGGTCATTGTTTTTGTACGAGCGTCTTTCGGTGGCCACTCACAAACATTTGGTTTGTGATCGTTTTTCTCTCATTAGAACTCAAACATACATATTTTATTAATTAGTCCCTGTGTCACCTTCCCTCCATTTACTGTCAAAGAACGATGCGCGCCCACTGTCTGCCTGCCTCTGAATATCTCCAGACTACACCTACACACTACACGGGGTTGAGAGTTCATGTAACCACAATAAAGCTGTTGATATGTTTTATTGTGCTAGATTCAGTTCTCTTTTTCCCCTGTATAAACGTTCGTATTCGTGGTGGTGCGTAAGGGGAATACTCGGCAGGCCGGAAGTCACAATAAAGGGCACCACACACACAACAAATCTGGCCAGAGTGTGCGTGACGTTATTGTGTCGGTAACTGTCTGATCTGTTGCCTACGTCATTATTCCGAAAAACGGGCCATTATGTTGTACATGTAGTTTCAGTGTCATATGATGACGCTGATGGCTGTAATTTGGTGACCGCGCCTTCACAGAGTTGTACGAACCAAATTTTTTTATTCACTACGTCTGTACAGCATTATCGAAGAGGAGTGTGGCAAGATGACAGTTTGCTGGAGTTTAGAAATAATTTTCAAGCCAATGTGACCTCAAAATGTGGGTGCTGCTATATTATGTGGTTTACCTGGATATTTATACTATAATATCAAGTCTACCGAGCTGGAGTTGGTCTATCGTGATATTTACAGTGTATCATCCATTAACTTAATAGTTTAATGGACGCGAGTTGTAACTCCAGTTCGGTAGACGCATACTATAGTAGCACCAAGCAAGGATTAGTCCTTGGATCACGTAGGGACTCACATGAGCTGAACATTGTGCCTTCTTCTGTTTCGGAGTTCGATATGGCTATAGACAAACAAACAAACACAATATCAAAATTCAATAACAGTTTTGAGGGTCACGACGCACCTCACGGGATTTCCCGGGGTGAGAGTAGTCGGAGATGGGTTTGTTGGTGTGGAAGGAGGGTGGGTTTGGACATCCCCAAGTGAATGAAAAAAAAATAAATAAAAAGTGTGTGGAGGGATAGGGAAACAGGGAGTGGTCAATGCCTTCTCTTAGTATCTAGGAGGCCTTGATGTGGTCCCTTTAGACCAGTTCGTCACAACGGATCTTATATAAGCTGGATACTCGTGGTTGAGAGGGGGTGGGTGAGAGGTGTGTTTGGCAGACTGTATACTACACACACACACACGCACAATGCTCACCCTCAAAATTTAATAATTTGTTCTTGAATTCAGTCACGCTCTTGTAAAATTTCCGCTTAGGTAATCGGGGAGAATTTGTTTCGTAAGGTGTTGTTAATCTCTGAACCTTCTACGTGACTAACCCATACTTTAAACTTATCAAAAACAAAACTCACATTACTCAGTATGATTCTTTTAACCATTAGTAACAAATTAAATATTTACAACGCTTGATAATTATAAAAAAAAATCACCATATCGTCTTCGCTACTGGTCGGCTCTGTAACCGATGAACTCAAATAACAAAACATACTAATGAAATGATAAATTAACATTTAAGTTAATATAGCCCAATAAACATAATATGATTGATAACGTTTACAGTTATTAAGTTTGATCCCATAAGTTCAATTATTCATGATATTGTCCGTGGTCAAGTGAGCTGATACTTTATGTATCAGAAACAAATTGATTTATTCAGAAACAACAGTACAAATGCAGGCAAAATAATTCCCATGTTAGTTTCCACATCTTGGTGTAACCTGAGACAGGTATGCATAGAATAATGCATTTAAAAAACTACTTAACCTCGTCACATGCACATAGTAGTCACAAATATTCCGGCTTTGGCCACCCTGTCATAAATATACTGTCTCATTGTGATTCCGCTTAGCATTACCAAATAATATCCTGAACACGTCATGAGTGACGCCTTCCAGGCTGACTCAGAGCTTGTTTGTGTGTATGTTACTTTACTGCTATTATTATTATTATTATTATTATTATTATTATTATTATTATTATTATTATTATTATTATAATGACCGAAATACTTATCTATAAGATACAGAAATGTCCAAAGGAGGGCCACGAATTAGACCGCCTGCAGTTGCATAGCTTATACAATACTACAGTCGGGCAAGGGCGGACCTAATTGAGGTGTATAAACATCTCAAAGGGCACTACTCAGTCGAGTGTCCTTACCTAGAGCTGGCGGACGCTCGCCGCACAAGGGGTCACAGCTGAAGGTTGAAGAAGCTTCAAGTCCAGAAAACTGTGAGGGGTAACTTTTTTGGAGTGAGAGTTGTGAACTCTTGGAATGATCTGCCAGAGAGTATTGTGACGGCACCGAGTGTGAGCTCTTTCAAGACAAGACTTGACCAACATTGGAGCAGGTTCAGGTACATTCAGGAGCCGGTGCATGCCCAGTACTTGCCAACAGTGCCTAACAGAGAAGTGACCGATCGCCCAAGCGGCTAACGAGCAGATCAGTGGTGAAGAGGATAAAAGTAATAGTAAGATATGTACTGTATGTATAGACCCAGCTAATGAACTTCCTCTGTAATTGCAAAAATGTAGTCATACTTTACATCCGCCTGCAGTTTTAAGAATGGTAAAACTTTGCTCAATGTAGTTTAGAGAGATATTCCAGTTTTAAAAATTTCCTATAACTGGCGTGGTGAATACGTTTCGTCTGGAGGTTCACTGAGGCAACAACACGGCGGTGGCGGGTGGCGGGTACTAGTGGAGTGACCTTATCCATATTCAAGTTGATGCAAAAGTTTAATACTTTACATGGTATTGTTTTTAGGGTTGTGGCCTAACAAACAATTTTAATTCGAGCTGACTATGACAACTTGAAAAGGGCCTATCTGTTTTTTCCTTCACTTATTTTGTGTTATATTAAGCTCACTACTAAGAAGTAAACCAAAGACTAAAAAACAACAGGAAATGAAAGCCTGGTACAGCTGCTTTACGTAATACCTTCATCATAAAATCATAATAATTAATAAATCTCCTGATCTCTAAAACAAAACTCAATTTCATCGGAGTTAAATACTGGTGGAACTGTTGGAAATACCCCGAAGATTGACCGTGTTGTTGATGAATATAAAGGTGAAAGTGACAACTATAATGATGAAAAGTGGGGCTGGGTACCGCCAGGCATCTCCTCCATTGTTC